CCCCCCCCCCCCCCCCCCCCCCCCCCCCCCCCCCCCCCCCCCACCCCCCCCCCCCCCCCCCCCCCCCCCCCCCCCCCACCCCCCCCCCCCCCCCCCACCACCCCCCCCCCCCCCCCCCCCCCCCCCCCACCCCCCCCCCCCCCCCCCCCACCCTCCACCCCCCCCCCCCCCCCCCCAATGGCCCCAAAGCCCGTCTAATCTTCTCTTCATGCCGAGTTTAGGAGGTTTATTGAAGAAGAGGCGAACGAAGGATTCGCAAGACCACGGGAAACCAGATACTCAGAACCACGACGGTTCAGGCGCATCCATGCAACCCGCTTCACACGGTACGCCCCAGCACCACACGGGTACGGGTACACACAACAATGTCGCCAGCATCGACCACATTATAAACCAGGAGCAGCCGAAGCAAGAGCGTGTTACAAAGGGAAAGTACTCTCAGGAGGACTTTGAGCTTCAGCGCACCTTGGGAACAGGGAGCTTCGGCCGTGTGCACCTGGTGCAGTCTAACCACAATCATCGCTTCTATGCAATGAAAGTGTTGAAGAAGGCCCAGGTGGTCAAGATGAAGCAAATCGAGCACACAAATGACGAGCGCCGAATGTTAAATCGGGTGCGGCATCCATTCCTCGTTACCTTATGGGGAACTTGGCAGGACTCTCGGAACCTCTATATGGTCATGGACTTTGTGGAGGGAGGCGAATTGTTCAGTCTCCTGCGCAAGTCACAAGTGAGTGATCCCATGACCACTTCCTTGGTTTTGTGTGTGTGAACAAAGAACTCATTTGTCATTAGCGCTTCCCGAACCCGGTGGCCAAATTCTATGCCGCGGAGGTTACCCTAGCGCTCGAGTATTTGCACTCACACCAGATCATCTATCGTGATCTGAAGCCAGAAAATCTTCTGTTAGACCGTCATGGTCATCTCAAGATCACGGATTTTGGGTTTGCTAAAAACGTGCCGGATATTACATGGACACTTTGTGGTACCCCAGACTACCTAGCACCCGAGGTTGTCTCTTCCAAGGGATACAACAAATCAGTTGACTGGTAAGTCTGCTTTCAATGCTTCTGTCGAATTGCTCTAACTGTCCTAAGGTGGTCATTGGGAATCTTAATCTTTGAAATGCTGTGTGGCTTCACTCCTTTCTGGGACAGCGGATCCCCAGTCAAGATATACGAGAATATTCTGCGGGGCAAAGTCAAGTATCCTCCATACTTGCACGCCGACGCAGTCGATCTGCTCTCTCAGCTGATCACAGCTGACCTCACCAAGCGCCTCGGGAACTTGCACGGTGGCCCGAGCGATGTCAAGAACCATGCCTGGTTCGCCGAAGTCACTTGGGACCGGCTGGCTCGTAAGGATATCGATGCGCCGTATATCCCACCCATTCGCGGTGGACAGGGCGATGCAAGCCAATACGACAAGTATCCGGAAGAGACAGAGCACTATGGCCAGGAAGGAGAAGATCCGTATGTATTTCTTTCCATGCCACCCGCACGCCTGACTAACTAGTTCCAGATACGGTCACCTTTTCCCCGACTTCTAAGGTGCTTGTATAATTTTATGACGCGACGAAAAGTCCTTTGGGGGAGGGCCGGAACTGATTGACCTCGGGAGGAGTCGTGAAAAACCAGGAGCCATTATATGAAAATCCATACTTTTCTATATGCACATCATTTTTCTTAGCAATTACAATCGAATTCTTGTGTTTCTTTTTTCTTTCAATTGCCTGCTCGATGTACAAATGGGTTCGTCGTGAACCCTGTTCTATTCCCAATCTCTCCAACCACCGGGGCACAAAAAGCCACGCCCATATTATACACGGGCTACCAGGCCGCTTCTATCGTACAGTAGTTCATACACAGAGGTGTGTGTGTGTGTGTGTCTTTTTCTTCTTGTTTCGTCCTTCAAATTCCTTGCTTCTGATTCGATGATGGATCCAACTTAGCCCAGGATTCCGCTGCCGCCCTCGGGCATGCCGGTAGCCATGGAGGCAATGGCAGCAGCATCCTGACCACCGAGACGCTTGGTTTCCACGCCGATACGGGCGATGTAGGTCTTGCTTGTGGTGTTCCACATGGCGATGTACTTCTCCATGCAGCTGGACAGGCAGGTATTCTCCTTGGCCGAGAGCGAGGTACCGGGGGCAGGAACGCAGGCCTTGAAGCAGTGCTTGTTGATTTTCTGAGGTTGATGTTAGTTGGTTGCCGGATTTGGATATCAAGGGTGGTGACGTACTCCGATCAGGGCGCGGGCGTTCGACATGGCGGCCTCCTGCTGGAGCTGGCGCATGACTGCTGCCTTGATCTCCTCGGAGGTCTGAATAGGAGCGGGGGAGCTAGAACCGAAGAGCGACATTATGAGAGAGTGAGGTTGGTGGAAAAGTGCAAATGAGATGGTGTTGAATTGGATCGAACCGAAGAAAGTCGGACTTCAGGATCTGAGATGCAGGGTTGTGGCTGGTGTGTTCGCTGCGCCACATCCGATGTGGACACCTTAGCATAACGAGCTGTATACTTCACCTCCCTTGTCTCCACGCCTGAACTTTGCCTATTCACTCTTTCTTGTCATTTTTTCGACTTCCTCAAGGCCTCTTTTCTTATTTCTTTCTCACTGGGTTTTCGGGTCCTGGTGACACCGTACCCCGTCTATCCCACCTCCAGTCTATCTTTGAAACACTTTGGGCTCCCCTCCATTGAGCCCTAATACAATTCCACAATGCGTCTTCCGTCTATTTCCTCGCTTCTCTGCTTCGCGGGCTTGGTCGCCTTACCCGTGAATGCCTACGATGACCCAAATATCAAAAGCATCCCCGTATGTGCTCAATGTTGACTCCGTTTCAAGCCGAGGTACTAACTTTGGACATCTGTCAGCTTCGCACCCATAGCCTCTCTCCGGTATGATCATAACCCGCGAACACACTGTGCACGGATCGTGCTCCGAGGAGGAATATCAGTATTGACCGATGTAACAGCCATACCTCGATTCAGACTTCCAAAGCCGCTGGTTCGACTTCGGAGGAGATACAGTAATCCGCGCTGACAAGTGAGATATTCCGGTCTTCAGGTGGACTCTGTAATCAGTGCTGATTTTCGTCTTTGTTCAGATACGTTCGCCTCACGGCTGACCGGCCATCGCAGCAAGGATGGATCTCCTCCCGCGTACCTCTGACCGCAACCAATTGGCAGGTAAATTCACGAACCCCGCGGAACAGAATATGGGCCAAAAGCTCACGTACGCCTCTGCTAGATTGAGCTCGAGTTTGAGATCCACGGCTCCGGCAACTTGCATGGTGATGGATTTGCCCTCTGGCTCACCAAGGAGCGTGCCACACAGGGCCCTGTCTTCGGTTCGACAGACAGATTCGAGGGTCTCGGTGTCTTCTTCGACACCTATAAGAACAACCGCCCCGGTGTGTCGTTCCCTTACGTCATGGCGATGATGGGCGATGGGCAGACCTCCTATGACCAGGCGCATGACGGCAAGGCGAACGAGCTAGCCGGTTGCTCTGTGAGTTGACATTGATTCGCGGCTGTTTTGGATATACCGCTAACTGTTCACAGGCTCGTGGTCTCCGCAGCGCCCCAGTTCCCACAAAGGCTCGTCTTACCTACTTCCAGGACAAGTCCCTGTCCCTGGAGCTACAGTACAAGTCCGAAGACACATGGACCGAGTGCTTCAATCTTTCCGCTGAGGATTCTAACATCGCCATCCCCTCCGTCGCATACCTGGGCCTCTCCGCCGAGACCGGCGAGCTGAGTGACAACCACGACATCATCTCCCTCAAGGCCGAGAACCTATACTCACTTAACCGCGGGAAGACCACAGAAGACCGGTCCAAGGGCCGTGTCCGCTCCTCCCCCAAGCCTGTTAAGGAGCTCAAGGAGAAGAGTAGCTGGACTTGGTTCCTCTTCAAGATCGTGCTGTTCTTCGGCGTTGTTGTCGGTGGTTACTTTGGCTGGACGGTCTACCGGACCAAGACCCGGTCATCGCGTTTCTAAATTTACGTTGTATGGACATTTGGTAAAGCACAGGTCTTAAACCTTCTTCTGTGCGGTTCAAGTTGGTCTCTGGGTTTGCCCAGTTTTTGCATACATAGCCCCTTTGAAGCTCTTCTTTTTACTTTCATCTACGTTCAGCTCGCACTACAGTTCTTGTTATCTTTTCTCTTCATCTTTGAAATGAATCAAAGTCACGATCATTCATAATTTGCTCTGATATGCAGCATGATGCTTGGGGTATCAATAGTATTACAAGTAATAAAACAAAACGCCGCCCAATGGAGAGACCTCCGTCGTTACTTCTGCCGTTCTCTCTCCTCGTTCCACAAGCCATCTACAATCTGGAAGACCTCAGTAACGCTGCGCATGACAGTATCATCAATCCCTAACGCGCCATAGCGATGCTGAATCTTATCGGGATGCCAGCGAATGCGCTCCGCTTTAAGCGTACCAAGCAGGTCCGCCGGCGGCGGAGCATGGCGCATGAACTCCTCAACAGCTTGAGGTCGAACATCAACCCTCTTCCCAGAGCGAACAGGCCAGAAGAGCAGATTGCGCAGCGACTTAGGAGCCGATTCCTCCGCAACCTTCCGAATAGTCTCCCATCTCTCCAAATACTCAGCCCAGGGTGCACCCCACTCAGTCTTTGCTCTCTTGCGCTGCGCTCCTCGCCGTAGACTCTCGTCCATAGCACGTTCAAACTCCTCCCTCCCAGACTGCGCGTTCCTCTGAGCCTCCTCCTTCCTTTTCTGCTGCCGCTCAGCCCGCAGCCGCTCCTGCTCGGCTAACATGCCCTCCCGTGTCCGCTCCCACATCCGTCGACGTACGTAGTCAACATATTCCTCCTCCGTCATCTGTTCTAGCTCGCCCTCCGGCCCGCGTTGTACGTCCGGGACACGGTAGTTATGGATGGGCTGGCCGTAGACGGATTCCCAGTATGCGGCACCTTCGTCGTCGCCGAGAGCGTCGAAGAGTGACTCGCGGAATGTGTCCGCTGTTGAGTTGAAGGAGTTTTCGTATGTCGGGTCGGACTTCTTGTCCTCGCGATGGTGTCGCTTGGACGGTTCACTGTCTCGTGTCCGTGATCTGTGACGGTGTTTCCGCTTTCGGTGAGGCTGACTCCCATCTTTGAAGCGAAATGCCCGGGTGTGGCCTGTCCGGGTATGTTCTTTGGGGTCCTCGGTAGGTTTGGTGGCTCGAGGATGCTCTGCGGGGGGAGATGCCCCAGGCCCCTCGGTAGGTGTGGGGTTTGAGTTCATTATAAATTGTATTTTAGATGGCGGAGTAGCTCCAATTGGCAGACCTCATTGTTTGGGAGTTGTTGAGTCAAGTAAAACATCGGGTGAATGTCAAAAAGTTGAAGGAGCCAACCTAATCTGGAAAGCGGAGATAACGTGTCTTAGTCATCTTATCTCCACCCCCACATCTACAAGACCTCATAGAAGACATCGCCTCCGTAAGAAAGGCATTGAATGTATAAAATCTAAATTTGGGACACAGCTTCTGGACGATCATCGAGTCTTCATCTTCTGAGGGTTTGAGCCTCCATATGGATATTTTAATTGTAAAAATAGTGTCATTATTTGAAGAAGAGCTAAAGCAGAGCTAAGAAGCCAATATGTGTCGGTAGAGCTATAAGCCTTGAATTCTCCAGACCTGGCATGAAATCAAATTCAAATTATCAAGTGAGATCTGGTTGTCTTTCTCTGGTAAGGAGATCGGTTGGTGGCCGAACAGCTCCTCGGTCCTGACGATCAATGGTGGAATATCAACTTGACACAGCCACTGTAAGAATGAATTCAAAATTAGGGTGACAAACGACCAAAACGACACCGAAGACCAAGGAAGACTTACCAATTCACACTGTTTCGTGCTCTGACCCAGTGTTAGCAACGCTTGTTGCAGTTTCATCCCCCGTATATAGTTTATCTTGAATGGCTGATCCCTCTTGCCTTGTCCAATCGTGCAGAGCGATATGGAAGCAATGAAATATACAGGCTGTCTCTGAAGGGACCAAGTTTTTTCGGCAGTTTGTGGTGGACTCAATGACTACCAGTGATTGCATTAGTAGTAGCATAGTAGCGTAGTCTTGTCACCGCAAACCTGATGTCTGGTCTGATTTTGATTAGCCAGTTTAGCATACCGACCATCATGTGGTAGTAGTCATAGTCGCCTTTTTGTATAACTTCGGCTTTGGAGATGATGAAAAGAGAACAAGAGCACTTTTATAACGGGGGCATCGCCTTCATCGCTGTAAATATTCTTTTCCTTTTGATGTAGCGACATGCGCTGATCGGTATCAGCGAATCATGCAGATGTGACCTGTCACACTGATCCTTGCAGCGGTTGGGGATCGCAACGATAGCAACGGTGTTGATAGCGTTGGCCGGACAAACATAGTAGAGTAAACATTAAAAACAAGAGTGCAGGACAGGTCAAAGTAGAGAATGTAATTCCTACAACCTAGGACATCAGGCTAAGCTGGTTATCCATATTCAAGTCATTCTTTTATTCTTTTACTATTCTCCACCGCGGAGCTGTGCCATATGCATTCCCGGGCGCGGTCCACCTCCAGGGACTTGGTGCGATCTCCGATGCGCTGGTTAGACGCCGCCGATGGACCAATACCAGTGTCATTTCCGAGCTGGACGTTCTCTTTGGGACCGATACCCATGCAGCCGAGGTCTTTATCCAGCAATGGCGCCAGCGAGCAGCGCAGGCATTTCTTACTACTTTCCAAGAGGTCCAGAGACTAGAGGTCTTATACTATGGAGTAAACTCCTTTTTTCGCCTCCGGGGACTAGTATAATTTTATATGGCCGACTAAGAATTCATATAGGCTTAGGGTGTGATTTACTTCTATATATATCGTAGATAAGGAATTTCAGTAGTAATTCATTTCTTCTATAGGATTCATTTCTAGTACAGCTTTTAACTTTGATCATTGGCACCACGTAACAGGATTGATAGAGGCTTATTCGGGGCGCTTTACGGACCGCTCACAGGGGCGCAGGTAGCGATTATCCCACAGTATCGCTTAACGGAGCTCCCGCTCGCTTACACCAACTGTTTCAGCGATTGTACGGCAGACCAAGCGCCAGTGTTCGTGGGAGATGGCAGAGTTCGATATCTGGGTTCGGCGAAGCATGTCTGAAGCAAGCTCGCGGCTTCCCAGAGGCGGGATCGGTAGACAAATGGTCCTGTCCCACAGTCGGGATATAAGTGATATTCTTCGGGGCTCACAGGCATCTTCGTCCAGTCAGTATATATATATATATATATATATACAGTGAAGTCACAGGAGAGTGTAGAGAAAAAAGAAGGAGGTAATTTATAGGGCAAAGACATAAACCGAAATGAAAAGCCACGGTTTGTCTTGCGAAAAAAGAGAGAAAGAGAGAAAGAAATGAGGTTGAGAATCAATGGTGCAGGCTTGGTTGTCTTAGAAACTGGTGGTCGTTGCACGGTCCTTGTATGAAAACTATGAAAGAGATTCATATTCAAAAGTGCCAGCTCGTTGTCTCTTATTTGCCTGGTCGATTGCCAGCCATTATCTCGTCGCGTTATACTACGTAGTATAAACTTGAAAACTCCCCTATAGAATGGGTGGATGTTTCCTTGGGCTCTTCTGAAAAAAAGCGAATTAGAGCTGAAGTAAAATTACAGTTATAATTCGTTACCGCTGAGAAAAGGCTGTGAAATTCTTTAAAAAAGAAATGTGAGAGAATGCAGGTCGCTTGGTTTTAGTTGTTATAGTTACTTCGTCCACTACCATATGGAGTATCAGTATAACTTTGAAATGGTCTGTTTAGGAACAACGAGGTTGATCATTGACTGAAGAATAAGCCAGTCTGAGTCCATCAACTACTTCCAATGTTTTATCACGTATGGATTGCACATAACACAATTCTATATCTGCGGCTAATTCCTCTTATACTCTAGCTACAACATCAAATAAGGTGTCATATCTTTTGTAAAAAAATCCCTTGGAAGACCACCATACCATAAAGAACATTAAGCAAGAGTACCAAAAGAGAATACCAAAAAGACATGACAAGGACTAGTAAATGCTTGTAGGAGTTTGGGTTGAGATAAGGTTATGCCAAGAGGGCGACGAGTGGGACTGGGATCACGTGGTATTGAGATACCAAGCTAGGATATGATACGATAATCTGGGCAGCTCTCTAACATCCCCCTTCTTGGTGAACTACTTAGAAAAGTCAAGGGCTTGAAAGCTTGATTGAATGTTGAATGTGCTTTGTTGAATAAGGTGAAAGCTGCAATATGTCTGTACAACGCCATTCCCTAACCCGAAATCCAAGCCTTCCGCCCAAAACGTAATTCCATGTCCGAAAGAGCAGAGGATCAAATGCGATAATGCGCCATATTCTTCTTGATCTCATCCACAATCTCCACAGCTTCATTGGTACTCCTTGCCTCAAAGTCATAACGCTTCTGCTCCGTGGCATCATTGCCGCGCACAATCATCACGCGGAAGCTCTTGGGGTGCCGTCGGCTGACCTTAGATCCGATCACGTCACTGAAGCTGATCGATCGGGTCTTACCGCCGGACGCCGTTTTGCCCGTATCACCGGGCACGATATGCATATAATCATTCTCAAACGTGAGGATGCGATGGTTGGATGCTGTGAAAGACATGGGCTGTTTGCGGAACACGTGGTATCGGCGGTAATAACCGCCTAGGTGGTCTTGCTTCTGAGAAGATGAGGGCAACATGCGCTGCGCACCCTTCTTGGCCTCCTTTTTGCTCTTCTTAGAAGTTGTCGGGTCTGCGGTGTCCACCATCAAAGGCGCATTTGGCGATGAGCTGCCTGGCGAGGTTCCGAGTGCGAGAGGCCCGCCGCCGAAGCGACGGCGCACCAGATCAAGGTCGGTGATGTTGCCCAATGCCTCCACTGTGCGGTCAAGTGGTGCAATCGTGTTCGACCCCATCACCTTTAAGAGGTAGTTGCCCTTATCCTGGCCCCATCTTTTACATACAGAATCCAGAATCTCTGCTATATAGCTATCGGTAGATGTGTTGATGGTCATGACATGTGCGGAAGCCTCCATGTTGATGAAACGAATCTTCAATGTCTTGGATACACCAAGTCGGGGAGTCGCATGCGAGATAGGTACCACCGGGCGATCGGCAGGGGTAAGAGTGCTGTGGTTGAGTGCAGACGAGAATGGCTGGCCTAGGATAGGGTTTGTTCGGCCTGGTGTGGCCTGAGGGCTCTTTTTCTGTGCAGTGGATTGCGCCCCTGGTACTGCAAGATTAGCCGGCTGATCTGCCTCTTCCAACCCAATGCTTGAACTAAATTGGGGATGTAGCCGTTCATTCTCCTCAAACTCGGAGTTCGATGCTTCAACCAGTGCGAATTCATCATATGGCTTGCCCCTTGACCGTCCTCGGGACTTGGCAGATTGGTTATTGTTTGACGTAAAATCCGTCATTGGAAGTGTCCGCCCAAGCGCTGGGAAGTCATACTCGACTTCGCCATCATCGACCATCCGTAGCGTCCATCGGTTCACGGTCAAGTTCTCGCGATTAATTGGTGGACCGCGACCGTCGGCCGCATATTTCCATAGGGCAAGACCAATCGTCTCAGCAACGGTCACTTGTGCGGGCTGTTCTGCAAGCTTAGATTCGCGTGTAAGTGACAGATCGAGCGGGTCTTCGGGGTCGCTTGAAAAAGGAACGTAGATCTTCAAATATAATGAGTCCTCTTGACCTCGCCCAGAGAGCACCACGAATTTATCCACTGGATTGCTTGGTGCTCGCTTCCGCGACGTAAGCTGGCTGGTCAATAAGCTGACCGGCTTGACCATGCTGATAGGTCGTGGCGGGGGAAGATCTTGCAATACAGGAGCCGGATTGCGATGCTTGCGCGGTGAATTATTCTGCGGCCCTGTGCCAGAGGGTAACTTATTCATCATAGCCATGGGCGAGGACAAATTCAAACCGCCCGCCACGCCTGCCAGCAGCAAGGAGCCAGACCCAGCCGTATTGTCAAAATCAGATGAAAGTGCAGAACCAACAAACTCGGCACCAGAGTCCTCGTCCTCCTCGTGGAGTTCTCCGAGAGCTAGGCTCTCCGCGCCTCGACTGCCAGTTCGCTCGCGCCGTCTGCGGGGATACTCGACGACCTGATCACTCGCGGAGAATTGAACCTGTCCTTGTTTGTAGCCTCTAAGTTCGGTTTCGTTATCCGTCGACAGATCACTGCTCGTGGTTGTATCTCCACGGGGGCGTGGTTTCAATTGACTGAACTGACTCGCAACGTTTTGTGTTGATGCAGATGTTACCATCACTTCTGGCCGTTCCCTCCGGACCCCAGAACGGATTGGAGAGGAGTCGGCGCGATCTCGATGGATGGGCATCTTGTCAAATTTGATCTGATCAATAGCACTGTTGTTGTCAGATAGGGAAGTAGAATACCACACAATAATTCACCAACCTGCTAACGTCTCCAACGTTGTCCCCATCGTCGTCGCTGTCATCACTCAGATCGCTGCTATCGTCGTCCTCTGCTTGCGCTTGTCTCTGAACCTCTTGTTGCCTTTCCCGTCGAGTTTTCTTCTTTCCGCCTCGTGCATGATTCCGCCGCGCGGTCATATCCGTATGGCTTTTGCCGGTCACCATGCCACCATCATCCTCGCCGTCTTCCAGGCCGAGGCCTTGCAAATTGTGGTGCTGAGGTTTCGCATTTCGTTCCGCTAGCCTGTAATATTCAGATGAAACGTTTGCCGTGGTTGGAATCGGTGGGGAGTAAGTGCGCTTCAGGGAGGAGCTATGTGTGTTCGGGTACGCAGCGGCGGTTGACCAGCCCGCCGCGCGAAAGCCAGGTGTATTCAGCACGGAGTCATTGACGTTGATAAGTCGGTCCCCGATTCCATCTTTGATTGTTGAGAGATAAGAGGAGCGTAATTGCCAGATCGTAAAGCTTCACTCGGGTTAGTCCTTGGAGACCCTTCCGCGGCGATTTGAGGGCCAGTCTACGATTCCGGACGCGACTTACTCTTCATTGTGAAGAAGAGACATTTTCCAGGCTCTCACGAGGACATACGTCTGTAATAACCCAGGGGTATGCTGCGCAGTAGCGACCGAGGTCTAGATATCTCACAGCAGCTCTAGCTAAAAGCGCATGCTCGGGGAATAAAGGGAGGGAAAGCGAATGAGACTAGCTCATACAGGACCAGCCTGGAAAAAACAGATAAAAGAGATAAAGAGATCAGGAAAGGAGAGCAAGGAGGGAGAGAAAGGAGAGTTGTATGTCGGAAGCAAGATGAGAGGGAACTTCGGTGTTCGCATTCATTTCCCCGCCAAGGGGGCCACACTAGTCAACTACATCGATGTTTACATCTCCGTACAGGTACAACACTTGACGAATCAATTATTATACACATGGTTATACTCTCAGTCTTGAGGAATATTGAGAAATCTGTTGGCGGAACATATCATAGTACTATGCTGGACTACTCTGCCTCAATGGCTGACGATATGACAACAAGCATTGAGATTCAAATCGAACAAGACTAAACTCTTTGAACATCATCAAAAGTGTACCTAGAAAGAAAACACGACACTCTCTCCAATACCTGTGAGTTTATCAGCCGCTGCCAATGCATCCTTCCACTGATCCAGACCAAATTGGCCAGCAACATAGCATCCGTCCTCTTCTTTCAGGCGAAGATTCCCCCTCTCGATCATCTTGATCAATGCAAGAACATCCTTTCGCTCATACATCCAGTTTCCCTTCAATGTGATATTAGAACGTGTAACAAAGACATTTGGGATCTCAAGCTCTTCATAGGCACCCATCAGACTCACCCGGCCTCCAGGTCTGAGCGACATAATGCCGGATTTGAGATGGAAAGATCCTCGAGCCCCAGGAGGAGAAATGTCGAGGAATACATCCATCGGACCGAATTTGCTGATGTTGTAGGCATCATTCGTGCGGTTGCCTGTCCAGGTTACCGTGGAGATTCTTTCGCAAGAACCGTTGAAAGTGCATGATAGGATCTGATTGAGACGCATGAGCTTAGCATCATCGTGAGACCAGGCTACAACTTTTGCACCTGATATTCAGTTAGCCAAACTCCTGATTGTCTGGGGATATCTTTGGTAGCTAAAGAGAGATATTACCCATAGCCAAAGCAACCATGCATGCAGCAACGCCGTTTGGATAAGTGGCCGGAGAAATCAACACGGTTTCACCGGGCTTCACGTCAATGCTACTCAGTCCACCGAAAGGCCTGAGGAATGTCGCAATAGCACAAAGTTGTTCTGGGGTATAATTAAAGCCCCAATTAGTCGGATCTCCCATCAACTTACCTTCATCCAATGGATAGCAATTCTCAAGTGGTGCCCTCATGAACTCGGCATATGAGCCATCTGCAAACCCGCTATAGGCCATGATTTCCTTGATTTGAGAGTCAAATCCATGATACACGGGGTTGGAAAATCGAACCATCTCCGGGTTATCTCTTCCTTTCATGACCGAGTCAAAGAAGATCAGTTGACCAACCTTCAGAGTGGTTGCATCGTCACCGACCTGGCTCACACGGGCAATTGCACTTGAGCCGGGAATAATCGGGATTTCATAAGGAGATCTGAAATGGTTGTAAAAATCAAAACCTAGCTTACTAAAAGAGTGGAGGGGCGTTGCCAGGATACGCAGAAGAACACTTCCGGGCAGTAGAGACGGCATAGGGACTTGTTCAACTTGGGGTTCGGTAAATGGAGCAGGCCTTAGAACGAGGGCACGATGGGTGCTTTGAACCAACGGAAGAAGCTTTCTGTGCGGGATGATTGGACGTGGAGTGTCTGGAGAATCTGTAGACAGACAGTTCAGTGTTTATACTCATGATTGGCGAGAATACTTGACGTACTTGTTGTGACATTGTCAGAGTCACTAGATTCAGAGACACGAGTCATATTTGCATGCAGGAACAGGTCTGCACAGAAGAAGAGTCGAGATAGCAAGAGCTGAGATAAAAGAAGTGGAAGGGTTTGAAGGCATTCACGAGGGGATAGGAATAGCGGGAAAGCAGCGAGAGAAGAAAACAAGTCCTAAGACACGTCAAAATGTAAACAACTAAATTGGTGTACTCAGAGACAGCAGATTAAAATGCACCAACACTATTGAAACGCGTGCTCCTTGACGAAACGATAATATGTTACAAAAATGAGAATCTCTCAAGCCTTGGCCTTGGCCCTACTCTTACGAGCTTTCTTCGGCTTTTCCTCATCGGCATCGACGTCACCATCGGTCTTCTTCGTCTTCTTGCCCTTGGCCGGTGCCTTCTTTTTCTTAGGCAAGCTCACATACTTGTCCTTCTTCAGGTCAAGTTCTTCGTCCTCATCCTTGATCTCTTCAACAACTTCTTCTTCGTCGGATGCTTCAAGGGCATCTTCAATATCAGGCTTGTCCTTCTTCCCCACCTTGGGTGCCACAACATTGCTGGCCTTCATGAATGGCATCGGGTGCGAACGCGAGTTGTACAGACGCGTGAAGGTAGCTTTCGTCTGTGTCTCAAGTTTGATCTTAGACTCGTCCATTGGGCCTAGTCCTAGTTCAACCATGGAATCAAAGTCCTCTCGAGTGAGATAGTATTCATCCATGAGATCAATGACCGACTCGACACAGTCCTTGCCTTCGTCCATCATTCGGCGTATCATCTTCTCCTGGAGCAAGGGCATGTACTGTTGACGGATCTCGTCGCGATTACCTGTAGTACGAAGACGCATGTGGCCCTGTATTTCCTTGACGTATCGGGAGAGTTTGCCTGAAGAATAAATCAGTTAGAGAGTGTACTATACAGAGAATAGGGGAATGTCCAAAACATACCATGTTTGCTATTGTTGCCCAGCCAGCTAGTAAATGCAGGCCGCCCATTTAAGTTTCCGTACTGGAAGCTGGCTGGCCGCACAAAGCTGAAGATCGCATGAGTGGGCATAAGACTCCATTGCTGCTGGGTGCCGTGGATCATGCGGTCGACGAGGTCGCCATCGCTGATACTCGAAGCGGCATTGTCCATCAATTCAAGCGCTTTCAGTCGCTGTTCCTCGCCCTGATATTTGCCCACAAGAGCAGGTTTAGTTCTGAGGTAGTTCTCCTGAAGCATCAGGTAGCTGAACTCATGATCGTTAAAATAAAGCTCGATCTTGTCATTCAGGGTAGCAGTGGAACTCGGGGAAAACATCTGGGCGCTGAGAATTTTGCTGACAATATCCCACGGCTTGAGAATGATATTCTTCTCCCACGACTTTGACATTTGCTTCCCTTCATCGTAATTAAGACCCTTTTGATCCAGTCTTGCTGTGGAAAGCATGTTGATGACCTGGCGGATATCGGCATGTGTTCCCTCAATGAGGCCGTCGAGTACAGGAGGCGGAATCTTAAGGCCTTCTCGGAAACAGATAGTGGACAGTCTTGCCCGAATTTGCTCAGCAGTCGGGCGTCTGAATGGCACGTCATAGGTGATGAAGTCGAAAGGTTTCATCTTTGGAAGCTTTCGCTCATTGCAGATGAGGATGATCGGAATCTTGGTCTTCTTGACAATGGCTGCGACAGCTCCCACACCTCCGCGATCACCGGCAGACATGCCATCAACCTCGTCCATGATAAGTACGAGCTTTTTCTTTTCACTATCGACTTGCTTGCCTTGTCCGGCGAAATATCCTTGCAATGATGTTGTATCTAGCACACCCAAGGTAGAGCTCTCGACAAGCTTCTTACTTCTGGTGTCACTGGCATTGGTCTCCACGATATCGAATCCTTCCAGCTTCGCCACGAGATGGGCTGCTGTAGTTTTGCCGATTCCTGGAGGACCGTGAATAATGACGGCACGGTATATCCCCGAGCCGTCTTTGCCGCCTTTTTTGAAATCGGCCTGGGCATTGGTATGCCAGTCCCGCAACCAGGTCTGAATCTTTTCCACAGCACTCTTATTGCCACAGATCATACTGGTCGATGTTGGGGCATACTTCGTGGTCCAGAGATCACCAGATATTGCGGGCTGTGAGCTTGGTGGCGTCTGAGACCCGGTGGCCGAGGTCTTGGATGCTTGAGCCGCGGCCGTCTTTCGTTTTTGCTCATCTCGTTTCTTCTCCTCTGCATCAATTTCGGCCGCCATAGCACGGACCTTGGCCTCGTCGGCTTTCACTTTCTCGGCATGCTTTTCGGCAGCCTTTCCATCCCCGCCGTTGGCAGGGAGTCGTCGAATCAATTCGAAGAGACCATCCTCGTTGATGGTCTTGATCTTGTGCTTCGCAATTGTCTCAAGCTTCTTTGGGCCGGCATCAGATCCGAGAACTACATAGTTCGTCTTAGAACTAGGAGCCCCCACGACTTTGCCACCATACTTCTTCACCAATTGCGCACCCTCTTCACGACCCAGGGATTCCAAAATACCGGTGAAAACAAAGGCCAAACCAGCAAGGCAGTTTTCTTCTCCAACGGGCATCTCCTTAGTCCCAGCCATTGCCGGTTCCCGGCTTTGTTGTGCTCCAAATTTGAATTTCCTTGGCTCTCCCTCAGGAGGCTCTGGGGCGTCAATCGTAGGAATGCTGTCGAAAATATCTTGGAGCTCTTTGCTCTCTGGTTTTTCCTCCTTTTTGGCCTTTTTAGGGCTAGCCTTCTGCTTCTTCGCAGCTGATGCTGCCGCGGCTTTGGTTTTCGGAGCTGCCTTTTTCGTTTCCTTTTTGGGTTCTTGGTAGTCGTCTTCATCCTCGTCGATGAGAGCTTCCGATTTGCGCTTGCGACCAGGTCGAGCCTTCGGGGTAGGAATTTTGGGGAGATCTTCCATGACCACGTCATCCTCGTCATCGCGAGAAGGTTGCTTCTTCTGTGCCTTCTTCAATCCTGCAGTGACTGGCCTTACCTCAAGCATTTCGAAGTCACTGCCATCGTCATTATCATCCTCAGCCACATAATCATCGTCTCCTTTGCCGGCTTTTCCATATTCGGTTGCAAAAATGTCATCGGCGCCAAGATTTTCATCCTCAAGGACCTTTGTGGGTTTCTTTGTTGATACCTTAGTGGTGGTTCGTACTTTGTTCGCAGGTTCTTCGGCAGTCTTCTTGGGTTTGGGATTTTCGGCCACAATCTTGGCTTTATCGGACTGAACTTGCTCAGTTGGTTTTGTAGGCCGTGGTTTCTTCTTATTGGAGGCGAAATAGTCGGAGGAAGTTGTAGGTTCTTCTTTAGTCTCTTCGGGCTTTCTGTAGAGGAAGCTCATCAGTCAAATGGTATGAGACATTTCAATCCAGCGATGGACATACGATTGACTTTTGGACTTTGCTTTGATAGCGGGCGCTTTGGTTGGTGCTACATCTTCTTCGTCACTGTCATCCACAATCTTTCTGCTGCCTGTTTTCGCGTTAGACTGGTAGTGCAGGACTATGGGTTATGGAGAGCATACGTCTCTTTCTTGTGGCAGAGGAGTCCTGCATTGTCGGATTTGAGGTTAGACTATAATTTCAAGCAATACGAAGGGCACCAGTACACATATAAAGTAACCAGGCCCTCCTTTCGTGAGCAAGGCACCAGCTTACCTCTTTTTTAGCTGCGGGTTTCGTAGCGGCGTCGTTGGAGCCTTGACTCGACTTGCCACCAAAGAAATTCCGGATGTCCATACTGAGTCGCAATTAATGACACGGAATTTGGCACAGAACAGTAAATGAAAGCGCGGTGTATGGCCAATCGAGCTCTTGCCGCAGCGTTTGCTAGATCGCGAACGACGCGCCACACTTCCGGGGACGTGACTGGCTGACGTAAGGCAGCACTTCCTTCCATTTTAGGACTAGCGTATATAAGCTAAGACTACTTACTAACTATAAGAATCAGGAAAGGACTCCAAGGCCTCATTAGCACTCCTTACCTCAAAGTCATAAACGCTTCAGGCATGAGATGTTTGTATATAGTGTCATTGGTGCCGAGAGATATATATCGGATAGCACCGGCTGTGCATAACATATCAAACTATTACAGGACAAGACAAGAGGATTACCAGTCAGACATATTACATATCCATAGTTTCAATTATCGAGTTGCGCAGCGCGGACTTTCTTTAGTATGATTGAGTGCATCTTCCATCAATAAATAGCTATTTGGAGCTACAACGTACTATGTTAGAATATAATTAGACTGAAATTGAGGCCTGGTTTTCAAGGCATAATTTAGCAAGTATGGATAATGTCACGTGCTCTGTGTCTTTCCACTTTGGGACTAGTGTAAATCATCGAAAAGTGCCGGAGTAACGAAGCCTTTCGCAACATTGGTATCTCTCGCCGCCTCCCTCCTCACAATGGGTCCCCAGATCAAGATGTTTGCTGGACCGCTTTCCGCCTGCACACGGCCAACTCGTATGAGCCATTTAACCCCCATAAAATCCATTCGGCCGAAGACTAACAGTGCGACATAGTGTCGGGACCGCTGGCCACCTTTTCTCTATCACGATGCTTCTCTACCACCTCGCCCACCCTTGATTGGCTGACCCCGAAATTCCAAGAAAAATCCAAATCCCCCAAGGGTCGCCCTCACGTTGCTACCGGCGGATCCACCCGAGGAACAACAGTCGTGTGGGGAGACTTCGGTCTGCGCATGAAAGACCACGACCGCCGCATGCCCGCATCGGCGTTGAAGATCGCCGAAGAGACCATCAAGCGACGGCTTCGAGGAATGAACTATAAGCTGTACAAGCGTGTCAGCGCCAACGTTGGTGTGTACACCAAGGGTAACGAGCAGCGTATGGGTAAGGGTAAGGGTAAGTTCGACTACTGGACTGTCCGACTGCCCGTGAGCCGAATCGTCTTTGAGTTGAAGGGAGATGTCCACGAGAAGATTGCCCGCGAGGCTTTCAGATTGGCGGGCCACAAATTGCCAGGTAGGTTATGCATTTTCTACATTACTACTACTAGTGCGAAAGATGCTCATTCTTATTCATTAGGTCTTTGGGAGTTCGTTAACAAGGATGACCCGCCTGTCGTCGGTATCACAAAGCTCGGAAACGGAGTCACTCTCGACTCCCTCAAGCGAGCTCGCAGAGACCCGCCCATTGGTACCAATGACCTCGTTTCACCTCCGCAGAGCACCTCATCCAGCTCCGACTCTACACAATAAACTGCCGCTTCCTGCATGATACCGTTTTCTCTTTTTTCATCGGTCATGTCTTTTGCTTTTGTCGTCTTTGCCGACTAAGCCCCGACACCAGAGCCAGGCCCATACCCCTGCTGTCTGCGGGCCTTGGACACGGCATCGTCCTCGTCACGTTTCATATCTTTTGTACATTATCATCAGCTGTTTGCGTCTCTTTAGGAGCCGTCGAGGCACGGGCTCCTCTGATGGATCTTTTGTCTTGATACTAGGAGTTTAGACAAGGAAAATATATTCAGGATTTACCTTTACCGGGGTCAGCTAATGCTCCCATTCCTAGCTTCTGTGCCTGGGCATCCTCGTCGTTGCTGGATGCTGGCCCTGGGCTATGTGTCCCTAGATCAGGGCTCGCTTCGCTTATAGTGTGCTTCTGGCCAACTTGGATGAGGTCAGTCATTGCTATGCCTAGTGCACTCAGAATTATCTCCAAGGAAGCGATATACCCCCTAGCTGTCCGGTCTGCTTGGGAGGACTCTTAGTGAATTCCCTAATAGACTCATATCTGCACCCTGTATATTAGCGAATAGCAATTGCAAGAGATGGTCTTGATTCGGTCCATACTGAGTGCTCTCTCCGCCCGGTTCCATATCAACAAGTCTGGGGTCGGACATTTTGGATGATATTCGTATGGAATAGAGGTACAATAGTAGAATTGTATTAGGAAAATCAGATGAATGCTATTCCGATGTTCCCACTGGGTGGTCCAGTTTATGAATGACGGGGATGCGATGACGTATGTTAAGAGGTCAACTGACCTACACAATTCAGGTTTCTTGATATCATTGTATAAAATAGTATCGAATGTGCTCTATGTACTTAGAATCGACCATTGCTACAATACGGCTACAGCTTCGCTGTTGAAATATATAGAGCTACGAGTTGGGCACGTGTGGTTCCAGAAATAAATAGTCTTGGTGCATTCTTTATACTACAACATTTAGCAACATTGCGCGTTGAATCATAATGGGGGATCAAGCACAACATATTCGAAAACGTATCATGAATCAAACCCAGACACAATTCATAGTTTCCTCAGAGAAGTTGATTCAGGACCAATTCGAATACTGGGCGACACCCCCAACACCCTACTCGACCCTGGAGAGTATCTAGGATCTTTACGTCTATTCATCTCAAAGGCACAGTGTTCTATTCGCAATCATCGTCTAGACGTCTAAACTAGTTTTCTCGCTGTGGACGTATACCCTGGAAGTCACGCTTACTTCGTCCTGGACGTTAACAATGTCGACTATGTCTATGAGACCGCTCATACCGATACGAGTCCCATTCACATCTACGTTCTTCGCCTATCGAAGAGGAAAATCAGCATCAACAGGCAGCGACAGCTAGACGCTACCATTGCTAAGAGATTTAGAGCGATGCACAATGGGCATGGGGATGACCCTCTACCGTTGCTTGATGATTTTAATCGGACTGTTGAATATCACAGTCCCCGTGGTCTTCGGCGGTAGATCTTCAACGTGATCATCTGAGTTTCCTCTATCGGAGTTTGACCCCCATCTGATTTGATTTTTGTTTTCTCAATGGAAGCTGCAATGCTGGGGGCGCCTCAGCCCAAACCCAAACGTGCAACCTTGAAGATAACCATGAGTGAACTGTGCAATCCCTTTGCTCAAGTGATACAGACTTTAGCGACGTCCTGCGGGTCCAGATTCCGGAGAGTAGACCCCCATCACGACAATCCTTGCGTAATTTAGATACAGTGATATCAATCTTTGTAAGCAATACCGGGAGTCCGTGACTTGCAGTATTAAATGAAATGTGATATAACGCCAGAATCCTTTTCAAAAATGCCTTCACGCGCCTGGAAAAAAGTGAAAAGTAAATTGCATACCTGGGGATTTCGAAAAAAGTGCAGTTCTGCATAATAGCAGACCATAACTTCCGAGATCCCATGCTCACCGAAAACCACCTTAGTGTACAAATCGTCATTCATCCATTGTCTTGATTTGTTGACAGTGAGTAATTAGAAATCCATGCCCATCAGATAGCTAAAGTGCTATTAGTTATATGCCTCCATTAAATTATCCAGGGGAAGTATACCTTTCATAGATGCGCATGAACTTGGCCACGAAGGCTTCGAGATGGAAGATTATTTTCTGTATCGAAATATTCATTAGCTTATATTGATGGCAATGCTAACCATCAATAACTTACACTTCCCAGCTTGATGCGGTGCTCATAGAACGCAGACCACTTGATAACTTCTGGTTTCAGAGCATCGTCAACTCGTGCAACAAGCTTGAATGTCAAGGTCTAGCACCAGCAGTTAATATCTGGAGCATGTTCATTGAATAGGTGTATACACACCTTCAAAATAGTTGTTGGGGGGATGCAATGGGTCAGAAGATCATAAAGACGTGCGCGGACTTGCAACAGCCGAGCTGGTGAACGCTCAGCCATAATCTCATCAGCCGTTAGGGCAACAAGGGCTTCCCAGTCCGGAGGCGGGATGAGGGTCTTGTCTGTAACCTTTTCACTACATTTCCAAGAAAACGTAAGCTTCTAAAATCCAGGCCAATGGGAACCGAAGTAGAAACTCACTTTTGCGCATAAATAGACTCAAACATGAGCAGCGCACGACGCAGATTGCGTCCACTCTCCTTCGCAATCCTCTTGTTCAGCACCTGAGACTCGGTCCATCCTTCCTTTTTTCCTGCGAGATGGAGCGCAGAGCAAATGTCAGCTTCAGTTGGCGCTGCAACCCTGACCAGCAGGGTTCGAGACCGAATCGGTGCAATGATATTGGAGGTACTGTTGGCCAGGAGAATCAATCGTAGATTGGGACTGTATTTCTCCATGGTACGTCTGAGAGCTGCCTGGGCATCTCGTGTGAGATGATCGGCTTCGTTAATCACGACGACCTTGAACCGCTGCTTCGCGCCGAGATCCACCTGTTGCGTCTGCGCGACCTCTTTAAGCAATTCCTGAACGACTACTCGGTCATAGTTTCCGACATCTGCGGGGGTGATCTCGAGATGGTACACCGATGAGACAATATTGAACTCTAGCTTTCGGTTGCTCGTCGTTTGGAAGACTCTGGCGTCGATCTTGATCTTCTCGACACCGGGGCCGTACAGTTCTTTTAGTGTTGCAATGACCCGTGTTTTCTTGCCAGCGCCGGAGGGTCCATAGACTAGTAGATGGGGAAAATCTCCGCTTTGTGCCTGTTAGGGGTACCTTATGTTAAAATTGTGTCCTGTTCCGCAGCTCAGACTTTCTTACCAGTGACCGCAGGCGATCAGAGAGCTCGGGGTGGTATGTGAGAGCATCGAGGGTGCGTGGCCGTAGTTTATCCACAAGGAGAGCCATTTTGAAAACTCTGTAAAGCTGTTGAGATGAGGAATCGAGGTGCTTGTGGTTTGGATAGAGGATGCGGACCTGAGAACGCGTCCAGACACGCGCCTAATTAATCACTGGTCCGTGCACGCTCCCACTATAATCAGCTTCGAAGAAATGATTTCGACGTAGATCGTACAATTACATATGAATAAATTTAACGATATATACAGCTATATAGTTTTCTAGGCATTTGGCAGCCTTCCGCCAAACTCCGATATGTATAGTACATGCAAATTTGCTTTGAGAGATGAGATGAATGTTGAAAAAGCCCGACACAACACCACGCATGTTTCTTTGTTCACTGTCAATGTCCAAGCCTATACAAACCAACACAGTTGAAATACAGTACCCCAATGCGCCCTTGGTGTGAGCTTTTTATGATGCAATTGGCGTCAGAACACCATTGTCATCATATTTAGCTTCTGCGTTGGGTTAGATCAGGCCAAGAAAGCAACGAGTAGACAATAAAACTTACTGAAGAAGGTGTATGACAGGGTGATAGTATCAATGCCCTTCATATTAGGGTCGGTAGCAAAGTCGGGATCGATGAAGAAGAAGACAGGCATATCAACCGACTCTCCCGCATTGAGCTTCTGCTCCTCAAAGCAGAAGCATTGAATCTTGCTAAAGTACGGCGCAACCTGACCTGGCGTGACGCTGTATGTTGCAACTCCAATAATATCCTGAGGACCCTTATTCGTTGCGGTATAGAATGCCAGCGCCGTCTCGCCGGGCAGCACTCGGACTTCACGCTGCTGGGGAGTGAACTTCCAAGGGAGGACATCCGATACCGAGCCGTTGAATGTAATGCGCAGGCGACGAGAATCTGTCACCGGCGTCACACGTGCAGAGGTATCACCGTCGCCGATTCGGTGGGTGAGAATGGGCTGACCGCCCCAACCGGTCTGCTGGCAAATCTGCAAGTGGGATCAGAATGATATTCCGTTTATGATGTACTCTAGATCGAGGGAGAGCTTGTCATACCATTTTGTAGAGAGGGACAGATCCATATGCAAGGGCAACCGTTCCAAGGATCATACTGATGGTATAGTACCTGATCGGGGGTTTTGTTAGCACATGGATTCCCTCCGGTCCGGGTTAAATGGCAGCTCACAATGTAGAGTTATTGCGTTTTTGTGATTCCGGGGTATTGAAAGGCGCTGTAGATGAATTGCGTTGTTCATGAAGCAGGAAATTCTTCGAGAAATACCTTCGCTCCACCTCGAAGACGCTCTTTCGGAGATGGATTGATCGCTGTGGAATTGTTACCGTCAGCGCAGAGCGCCCCAGCGAGGGGGTTAATCGTGAAAACATGGTTCTATGACTTTAATGGGATTGGACGTTGAGTCGCATGAGATGCAGAGTATCCAACACGTGATAATTCTGATTCAACGCCTTATCGATAAGGCCTTAAGCTTCGGAGTCACGTTACATTTAAACGGCGGGCGACATTGAGACAAGGTTAGAAATTAGAATGTATGTGTATCTTAAATTGATTCTTGATTTGTTCATGAAGATTAACCGAATCAAGAATTTTAATTAGAAGGTTCGACCGCACCCTTCCGGCTGCCGAGGCTGCAGAGTTGGCTTTAGCAGCGACTCATTACTGGTATAGAGGCATAAACATTATTCGCCTTATTCGCCTTGTACAAAAGATATCATTAAGTTCGGGAAATTTGAAAGCATTCATATGTAATGATGCAGAGTTCATAAAAATAATACAGGGTAATGGCACCCAGAAGTTAGACCCGAAGTATAAAATAACCAATAACTAATACAACCGTTTGATGGCATCGAAGCATTTCACTGGAAGTCTAATTCAACACACTCGACGTGATGCGACCAAACACCCCTCGTACCATGCTAGGTCGCTCACGGAGGCAAGTGATAAGAACAGCAGCGCTAACAGCAAATGCGATGCGCTCTCGGTATTGATACTGGGAAACACAACACGCGTCAGCATCTCGTGATTGTTTTGGAACATGCCACAGGTTAATTCGAAGACATTAAGAAGGAGTTGGAGGGGATGTGGGTGTAACCCTGTTGTGAACAGATGATGCGAGGGTCCGATACATACCTTTTTCTCATACAACCGTGGCAAAACCGTGGCGGCAGCCCGGGGTGCCACAAATAGCGCCAACTCCTGCCTCTTCCGCGTCTTTTCAACCAATATACTCCAGCCGCACATGAGACATCCCGCACCGACACATAGCCCAGAGTCCCACATCATCGGAGTGACCGTCTTCGCGTCAAAGACCTTGGGGCCGAGTCGTGTCCGAGCGAGACAGACACCGTAGTAAAATAAGCTCACAAAAGATGCGAGGAAGGCAGATGAGCGTGCTGCATCAGAAAGGGCCCGACGAAGGGCATTTGCAGATTTCATCCTGCGCAGGCGGAAAATAATCTGTAGGGGTATATAGGTTGCACAGGCATATTTGAAGGTTCTGGCAAATCGATACAATGCGTGTTTTTCACAGCTGGGGCCACAGCCCATGTGAACCATTTCGCAAGGGATCGGGACAAATTTTGATGGGTCACCCCATACCTCTGGCCAGTTGTAATCATTGCACATCGACTGGAGAAGAGGTGCCTGGCCTGTATCCTTTCCATAGACGAAAACTCCTCGTCGAGCACGGCGCAAGGCTTCAATTAAACGTGAGTCGACCTGAGCAGCTTCCCCGATCCACTTCTCATAGGCTCTGGGCAGTCTTTCGGGGAGATAAAACCACGCCCACATGACCACAGCCGCACTCATGGCAAAGACAGTTGCGTCGGCGAAGCCAGGGACAAGGGATTCGACAGTCGTCCAGCGATTCTGGGCTCGGCGGCGACGGGACCAGCGACCCCATGCAACACATGCGAGCGCATCTACGGCTCTTGTGACCATGTAGATGGTGAGGTCCATTGTCCTCCCTGCTAACTCTGGGCGGTGATGTTCCAGCGAATTGGCCATAAGCTGACTGGAGTCTTCCCCCTGATCTGTGGAGTTCCGGATAGTTCTAACATCTTCTACTGGCAGACAGATGCGGTTCTTGTTGAGCAGTTGAAAACTGAACCATCCAGATAGAAGAGAGATGATGAATCTAATTAAGCGGTCCAGCCTTTGTGAGATCCGAACGTCACGCTTGGACAGACCTGCCGTGATCAATGCACACAGACGATATAATCCTATTGGTAGTAGGGTTGAGCCACCGACCAGGGAAGCACAAGCTGTTGGGAAACTGTTCAGACGTAAAGGACTAGCCAAGACTTTAGCTAACTATTCGAGGTGAGGTCAGCTATAGCATTCCGTTTGTACAATAGACTAGAGGCAAGGGTGACAAGATAAGTCGCGATAAGAGCCCCATACTAGGTAATACTACGACGTACCTCTTGAAGTTTCTGTTGCGCAGTCCAATCGTTATTGCGCAGTCGGCGGACATAAGACAACAATTTCGGGGTGACAGAAGATAGGTACCCGAGTGCATATGCGCGAAGGAGGCTACAGTCGTAATCAGCAAGGGCTCTTCAGATCACACAGTTGCACCAAGCCACAAGGGTAACAGATCGCATGGACTCACGGCTTGAATATCCGGACGTTGTCCCTTCCATGGCGTCTCCGGAGTGCAGGTTCCATGCTGCCGGAAACCTTCATGTCATGATCCGTCGGGAGGTGTCAACATCACAGTCCCCCGGACTAATCGGCGACGAGGGGTCAGCCAGCTGTAAACTCTGGTGGGATTCACAAGAATCTCCTCGCCAATTAGGGAATGAGGTATAAGAGCTCAATGGGTTTTATCCGCGGGTGACCTACAATTGCACCTCCCGAAAATTGGGTAGTATTCTCCAACAGGGGGAAATTGACACCTACACGACCGTTTTCTGAACTATGGATCAAGTGAACTCCGTGTAATGAGCCTGTTAGAGACTTGGTGGTTGTACCTCGGTCCGTACCCAGGTGGGAACTCCAGAAAAGCCCCCGCAAACAAGATCCAAAATCGGGGGAGGGACCTGTTTCAAGAGAAGACAGAGGGCGATCATCCGAAGCAATGAGCCTTTTCCCTTTCGGAGCAGATTAGTCGGTATTGCGGGGCTAAACAAGGCGAATGATCTAACTCCAACCCCATAATAAGAGGATGATCTCAGGAGAACAATTCCCAAACAAGGAGATGAACCGCACTGACCCAATGATCCTTGTCAATAAGAACGAGAGAAAGGAATATATAAGAGAAAGGGCAAATTGTATTCGAATGTACACCAGAAAACAGCTGGAAGAGAGGGTATCTGCAGTGTACTTTGCGTTGACAAGTCGGTGCTTCTCTCGCAGGGCCCTCGGGAAGGGTTCTCCGGGAGTCAACAGCTCTCCCCAGGAACGTATCAAATACCGATGGTACCATATAAGCCACAGCGGAACCGCCGTAATTTATGTACTGTTACGTCACGCGCTCAAATTTTTGCATGTGATCAGGCCGATTGCTTTTGATGCGAAACTCTCCACGTATTCTTCTATAGGACGCATCTCTCTTGCTTTCGGGCACTCTCTTGATCTTCTTCTTTTGCTTTCTTTCTTCGCACTTTCTTCTGGTCTTCTTGTTCCTATCCCCATTGCGCTGAACCATCTCCTTATCGAGTCGCATTATCAGCCCTAGAGAACTCCCGTGGCCTTGATCTACCCCCGCGTTCCTCTTTTGTGGAGTCAAACCTTGGCTATCATCTCGAGCGCATACAATTTTTCACTCCATTCCAAGGCATGACAGTGTCGCCTTGGTCCGCGCTACTCTTTCCATCAGAGTAGCAACCGTTTTCTTGACACCCTGTGGATATTGAACCGCTTTTCACTATGAATGGACATGGCACTCAAGTTCGGACTGGGCGCACGTCTCCCCCGGCTGCTCCCTTTGGATGTGAGTCGCTCCGGGCATTATTTGTACCGTCCACTCTTTAACCCGATTCCAGACTCGTTTCTCTCCCCCATGGACACACCCTTTGAACAGGCACCTGCTCTACCCCCGGGACCTTCTCTTCTTGACGATAACGAATCCAATATGCTTGATAACTTCTTTACTACCATGAACGCAAACCACTTTACGAATGATTTCTGGATGCGACAAGAACATAAATCCGGGACACCCAACTTTGACTGGTCAGGTGAGCTGCCGCCCAACTTCGAAGGATCAACCACATCCCTATCGCAGCCCTCATTTCAGCAGCATGGGCTAGGGAAAGCAGCCGGGGGAATCATAACAGACAATCCTACAAGCTCGGATATATTCGCCGCAGCTTCCATGCTCTACCACAGTGGTCTGAACGGATCGGAGTTAGGATCCACGTTAGCACAACAGGCTTTCGCGGGACAGTCTCTCCCCACCCATGGGATACAACGAAAAATTAATTCACATACTGGCAGTGTCGCACAGGGTTCAGCTTCATCTCCACCCCGGGCTGGTGTCCCGGTTGGATATCATACCTCGGAGATGTTTTTTGACGTCCGTGACCCCATTCCTGCGGACCAACATCCATCAAGAAAGGCCCGCAGTTTGCGATGGGGCTCAGATGCCAGTTTTATGGACCAGGGCTATCTTCGCCCCCCTGATCAGCCTGACGAGGAACAGCGGACAAGTGACCTGCTCGATCATCTCGGGTGCTTTGAACCACAAAGCAGTGCAGCAAACACACGAGCACCTAGTCCAGAGCGCATGGTTGGGGCTCCTCCTCAAGGTGCCGTTTTCCGAAGTGGAGCTGTCCTGGACGAGAGCTTACATCCCCGAAAACGGCCAAGAACCGCCCTGAAATATGAGGGTGACGAAGACTCCGATGAGGATGATGCACGACCTCACTCAAGAAAGTCTAGAGGATCTATCAGCCAAGGCCGACGAGCATCAACGGACATGTCTCGAAAAGCCCGAGTACAGCCAGGGTCCAAAACTGCGCGAGAGAATCTCACTGAAGAGCAAAAACGGACCAACCATATCCTTTCGGAGCAGAAACGTCGAAATCTTATTCGCCAAGGCTTCGAAGACTTGTGTACACTGGTCCCTGCGCTTAGAGGTGGCGGATTCAGCAAAAGCGCAATGCTCACTGGAGCTGCTGACTGGCTTGAAGACCTTCTCCGGGGGAATGACATACTTCAAAGCCAACTGCGCGAATTGAAGGGCATGAATGGCTTAGTGATGCCGCGTTGATACCCTCTGTCGCACGACCACAACGTTAATATATGATCTCATGGATAGCCCTGCCTCTTTTCTTCGCGGGGATTGCAAGCGTTTCAGCGGGACAGTTTTGTGTATGCATGTCGGCGAGTTGGCATTTCATCTTTGCAAATCCCGGCAACAAGATACCATTTTTCTTTTCTCTGCATACTCTTTCTTCGTCTTTTTTTCCCCTATAACCGCTGTAGGTGATACAAGTCATCTTTCGGCTGGTCCTCGGCAAATATCGATACCCTAGTGCATAATTCGAAAAGCCTGTATTGAACATAGTTTGAGTAAAGACATTATTTCTTTCCAAATAGTTTTGCCAATATACCAAGACATAGCTTTCCGCATAGCACATAAATACGCACGTTTGGTCAAGCTGAGACATTTCAGCGACAATTTTGGATTATTTCAGTTTTCATCGGTTTTCAATTTGAAACCTTAGTACGGACGAATATGCTAATAAAGGCCAAGACTACCAAGACCCTGTGGGTTGGCATGCTATCTACTCCGTACTTCCGTAGTATCTCCATGTTTTGTCCCCACCGCTCTGTATTGCCCGCATGTGAAGACGCGTCAACATCCTTAGTTTTGTACCTCGACCTAACACCCTCAACTCACTATGCCTCCAAAGCGAAAACACACGGGCGACGATGCCCCGCAGGAGGACGACTCCAAGGGCTACGCCTATCTCAAACCGCACATCCGCCGCGTCCCAGAGAAAACCATCAAGTCGAAATGGGCCCCTCTACCGGAACCCGTCCAGGGAAAGGTCATGGACATGTTCCACTCCCTCGAGCGACCGGTGATAATGCGGAATCAAAATGAGCGCAAGCGAATCGAGGCGCAGGGCGCCGTGCAAGCGGTCGTGCGAAAGTAGGGCGCCGTGCCCAGTCTGGTAGCTTCCACAGAGCTACCAGTGTCTTGAAGGACGATGATACTAACCGTATACCGCGTGTTGTTTAGTCTAGGCAAAAGACTCCCGCGAATGCCGTTTCCGCCCATAACAAAGGACTCCAACTTCGACTACGAATCTGCCCTGAATGAGCACGTATGCGACCCCCTGCGATTGTCGACAGCAAGTCCATACTGATTACATTCTTAGCGCTCACTCGAGGCCCACTTGGCTACGATGAATGATAGCGTCGATCTACTAAAAGCTGAGATTGCCAAAGAAGAAGCGCTCCTTGCTAGGGAAACAAAATCGCTCCAGGAAATGGACAAGAATGCGAAACGGGCCGAGGCTGAAAGGAAACGACAGACTAAGAATGTATGCAGCAGATTATCTCGCTTCAAAATGGACTGGCTAATGTTTTACGACCGTAGGAACACCCCGTGCTCCGACAGTTGGATGCACTTCCTCGAACTGAGGATTCTGGGTCCTCTGAGTTCATGCTTCTCGGCGCGAAAGATAGTCAAGTGACACTAGATGAGGTACGGACTGCTTGTGAACCACGCGTGCTTGCCCTGTCAACTTACCATTCTATTTGATTTTAGTTGGAGACCGACCCCGAAGTCCAAGGACTCATGAAGCAACTACATGGCCATCTTCAATCCATGGAAAGCAATATAGCGCCCTTCGCAGGACTCGGGGATGCCATCACTCGTTCACAAGCTGCCTTGGATCTATACTCGATCCCCAATGACTGATTATTGCTGGACATCACTGCACTTGCAAGCTACCAATCCCGGCATTTTGATGCTTCTTATGATTGACACATGAAGGGCCTCGGACCCAGGGTATGCACATTTATTAGAAACTCAAACCAAGTATCGCCCAAGCTTGGCGATCAGGAATCACATAGGCAATCCTGGTCGCGTGCTTAACTCCAATGCATTCGCTGAATAGCTGCATACGGTGGAACCGCACGGTCGAACGCACCTCTGTTCAACAGATGATACCGACTGCAAGGGTAAAATATGGATCACCCTAAATCAAGAGAAGGGTAATGCAGATATGTTGCGCACCTAGTACAATCTGAGGAGTCATGCTCTAAGGGTGATCAGACAACCGAGGCTCCACCGCATGAAAAGGGGAAGAAACTAGATCAATAAACACGAGCCTCCACCTTTTACACAATACCAATGTAGTTTCAATCGAAATCCGATCAATTGTAAGCATAGAAAACGCAATTCCGCAGCCGAGGTGGTCTCGCCCCGACAGTGACGTGTGCCCAAACAGCCAACCCCATGCGGAGCAGTTCGGAGGGGTGACTCCGCTTTCTCCATCCCCAAGAACTTTTCGACGTTTACCAACTACTACCAACTGGTCTGCAGGCAGCCATTCCGCTCCGGCCCTGGTGGTTCTCACTGAACTCTTGCGCAATGTCCGAAAAGAATGCGCCGCTGGGCACTTCCAATGCGACAAAATCCAGATCTGATGCAGGGAAGGATACGAGCATCAAGAATCCGCAAACAGCTGCGGCCAAGGCCGAAACGACCGGCTCGGGGAGTCACTCCAGCCCCAAGAAGCGCCGGAAGGTGAATCACGGTAAGGTGCCGTTGCGCAGCATGCGACAGGGATCTGGGCGCGTCCGATCCTGTTGCGCATCACCACAAGAACATTTTCGCTAACGCAATTCCAGCCTGTGTATATTGTCGCCGCTCGGTAAGTTAACTTCTTGGGAATGTTATTATACTTGGTTACTATATGCGATACGCCATGACATCAATGCTAGCGCATATCTATTCAAGGAACTGGCTTTGCTAACGGGGGGTTTTGCTCGCGTGGGACAGCATATGACCTGCGACTCGGTACGACACCTCTGTCTCCCTTTCCGCGTTCGCGACCCGTCACGTCTGAAACTTTGATCGCAAACCTGCGGAGAATAATTTGCACCAGCTGACCTGTTTAATTCTGAAGGAACGGCCCTGCACACGCTGTATAAAGCGAAACATCGGTCACCTGTGTCATGACGAGCCGAGGGAAACTGCGAAACGAGGACGTGGCGAACACGAACATTCTGCTGCAGACGACGAGGGCTCGTCTAACAATGAATTGGGCTCCGTTCAAGGCATGCCTACGAGTGTCGACATAGCCGATGCTGCTGGTCAGCAATCATTCCCTGATACCACGATCGGAATTGCACCCTCAGTTGTGAATCCGCCTTCAACGGTGCCGCCTGGGAATCTTTCTGCGTCTAGTCAGTCACTCGAGGCTACCTCTCAGCGTGAGTTCGCAACAAAACCTGTTTTGCCGCCGGACTCAGCTAACGTGGTACGATAGTCATGCCATACAACGATTGGGTAGGTGGTCAGAATCAGTTCCAGGACATGCATTCTCTCCACCCTTCCTACATGTTTAATGCACACGAAGTGACCAACGAGTACAATCTGCTCGGCGATTTCCTCAGTAACAGTCTCTTAGACGACGGGGCAATGTTCCAAAATCAAGATATGCAGGGAATCTACAACGATTCGTCGTTGATGAACTCGATGAATGGTATGCCAGCACCGAACGGGTTGCCTCCTCCAACACAACTTCCGCCGCCAGCACAGAGCCAAGCACTGCCAGGAGACTCGATTCAACGCTCAACCTCCGCGACGGGTAATGACAAAGCCCGGGAAACGTACTACATGACCGCCGCCGACCCGGCAGGAACTGACCCACCAGAGGAGCGGATGAACAAGCTTCTCAAAGCGAAATATGATGCCGGACTACTGAAACCATTCAATTACGTTAAGGGATATGCACGGTTGAACCAGTACATGGAAAAGAACATGCAACAAATATCTCGACAAAAGATTCTGCGGCAGCTCGACAAGTTCCGGCCGAAGTTCCGAGAACGCATGCAGAGCTTGACTGATATCGAACTGATTCTGGTGGAGATGTGGTTCGAGCGCAGTCTTATGGAGTATGACCGAGTCTTTGCCAGTATGGCTATCCCAGCCTGCTGCTGGCGTCGAACGGGCGAGATCTTCCGAGGGAATAATGAAATGGCACAGTTGATTGATGTCCCGGTTGAGGGTCTTCGAGATGTAAGTTTCAAGACTGGAGACTCGCCACGTCATATTACACCCAACTCACATGTTTACTCTCTGTAGGGCAAACTTGCTATCCACGAGATCATTGTCGAAGACCAGCTGGTCAGTTATTGGGAAAAGTTCGGCGCCATTGCCTTCGACAATACTCAAAAGGCTATGCTCACTAGTTGCACGCTGAAGAGCCCTAACCCCAACTCAAGGAGTGACGGTATAACTTGCTGCTTTTCGTTTACGATCAGACGAGACAATCACAACATGTACGTGTTCATTGCTCACCACTGTCCACTAGATACTGACATGCCGGAACTAACACTGTGCAGCCCGTCTCTCATCGTTGGGAACTTCCTCCCCATCGATAGATAGTACTTTTCGGTAGACTGTTATTTATTCCATGACACACAAGGACTTCTCTTTTGGTATCATCGTTTGATTTAGTGATTCCCCAAGTTCTGGCTGTGCTCCTCACAGAAAAATGTATAGTGCTTGATTTTATGTGTATAACATCAAACAGTATGTTTTGAGTCAAATCATATATACATACGAAGTAACAGGGTCTGGTGCTCTGAGTAGTGTAAATGTTCTGTTTGCAATGGTCAAGGGACGACACGAGCACTTTGGGTTTGACTCGTCGTCTCTTTCGTCCCTCCACGCTCTTCCAACTCCAAACAATCTTCCCTCTCACTTTCACTTTCTTTCTTCCTCTTCTCCCAACCTCTTCGTAACCTTCATTATCCCCTTTTATCTTTCTTTTCATCTTTTCTCCCATTGGCTCCCAATCCCCAAGTCTTCTCTCCATGGCGCAACCGTCTAGACTACACCCGGCTCTAGCTGGTACGAGCCACACATCATGTCCCCGCTATGCGCAGCAGCTGACCCCCATATTCTTCTATCTAGGTCATGCTCACACTTTGCATATAGCCTTATCTACAGTCGGAACCTCGAGTCCTCTCCTTCCTCCCAATGCCATTTCCAGACTGGATAGATGGCTCAAGCGTAACCCGTTTGTTGTCATGGCAAATACATCGAGTCGCCAGCAGCTGGATATGGTTGGAACATTACTCTGGAATGACTGCACCCATCTGATCAGCTTGCGTGGTCAAAATCCGGAGGATATGCTGATTCTCGGCAAAGTGAGGGCTTTCGCGTTTGTTGTGTTGAACATGGCTGTCATGCCTGACCTCCTAGGTTTTTAATGGCCTCTAATATATGTTGAAGTGACCTTATCTAACCTCTTACAGGAGACCTCCGGGCTCTCGATCTGGCCGTCAAGGCTGCGCGTATTTGCATTGGTATACCATCTTACATCTCACTTGATGACTTGATCAGGTCTAACGACAAGAACAGTGAACCAGCAAAGCGAAATTGCGGTAAATATCTTGTCAGTGGCAGCCACGAGGTTGTCAAACATTCAGCCTGCTCATCTCGGGCTTGACGCTGCGATTAACCGCACTATCACCACCCAATACTTGTTGCTCCGTATGCGACTGGTGAGTTGCATTGCTTGAACACTGCTTTGTGTGTCAACACCAGAATTGACATTATTTCAGGCCTGGTTGCATGAACGAGCAGATATCGCCGAGCATTTTTATGGCAAACTCCCTGTCTTGCATAGGTCGCATGATGAAGAGTGGATTTTCGAGACTTGCTTTATCATTGGTGACTCTGCACTCGCACGGCGCCTGCCTGACATCGCTATCACATGGCTGCAGAGAGCGAGCGATCACTTGCAGTCCTTACACATGATGATTAAGTTTCCATATTATTATGATTGGGACTTGGTTATTCGACATTCTCTTGGTGGGTGGGTTGATCTAGTTGATGACCCGGACTAACATGCTGCAGTTGTGGCTTGTTCACAAGTCAAAATCCCTCTGGCAACCGCCATCTACGATTTTGAAATGAGCTACTTGAGAGAAGTACGTTTGTGGTGAATGTGGTAGACTTGAAGCTGACCTTTTTAGAATTACCCATTTCACCCTGCTGTGATCCTTTTTGATCTATCTATGGGACATGGCAATCCTAGTAATGACGGGGCACTACAAGGTAAGACTGATCTTTATCTTGAATGGAATTGAATTAACAATATTGTTGTAGCCCTAGAGAGGCTGGTTGATGGCATGACCCTTACAGATATGAACATGCCGATGTGAGTTATCCCAATTATTTACTGTAATTTTTGATAAATGTTAACTGTTGATCCAGAATTTTCCAATATGCCCGATCTCTGGGTCATATAGGGTACCTTGATACACCTATCGGTGAGAGACTTTGCTGACAGTTCTTTAGTGGTTCGGATGACGGAATGGAAGCACTTCGAAGGCTGCTCATGCGCCCTCTGCCAGCAGGAGAATGGACAGAGAAATGCTTTGTTGCTTTTCTTCTACTTTTGAGCAGATCGGACTTGTCTGATTCTACGCGTATTCAGGCCCTCCAGGATGTGATTGACTCACTAGAGCGACGTGGATATCCATCTTTTAGCAGTAGGGCATCTCACGCCACATTGATTGTAAGGCATACTCAAACTCTCATCATCTTCAATTCAAGGAGCTGACTATTATATACAGTGCATCTGGAAAATGACTGCTGGTGCAATTTCCCGGAATGACCGCTGGAGTGCAAGGCTATGGCTTCAGTTGTGCAGTCAGCCAAAGATCTTCCAACGCTGCTCCCTGCCCATCCAGATTGTGATACAAAAGTTAGTGGAACAAGAATTGAGATTTAACTAGCACTGTGAGCTGACATATTTCAGGAAGCTGGTTGCTTATTACATAGAGGCTGGACAGCTTGCCGACGCTCGTTGGTTAATCGATCGGGGTATAGTCCAAAGCCAGGAAGATTGCCAAAGGATGTACTTGTCTTACAAGTTGACATTGCTGGAGGGAAAAAGCGGTGCTGGTACGAATATTCTATCGGAAACCAACGCTTCTGGCCTATTCTAACTATATGCAAGCGCATTTCTATCTCGGCTTTCCTTCGCATCCCGTGCCGCACAAGCAACTGAGCCTTCTTTCGTGCGCAATGGAAGCTCAGAGACAACACAAACCAGAAGAAGTCCTGAATTGTCTTGAACCATTTATCAACTGTTTGACTTCAGATGACATTTATCATCATGACTTTCCCGCCGCCGAACATCACATGTGAGAATGTTTCATATTTTTGACTCGCTATGCAAGGCTAACTTGCCTACTATGAATAGGTTTGCCATTACTCTTCTCTCCGAAGAGCTATCCAAGGGTGGCTTTAACCAGAGACTTGGCAAATGCATCGAGACTGTACTCGAAAGTGGTGCGTTTTCCCCCAGGCAATAGTAATTTGTGATGCTAATCGTTCAATAGCCCTGTCTTATGCCAAAGAAAACAGCCTGTTTGAAGGTGGCGATCGGGAGGTCTCAGTCACTCAACTGGAATGGCTGTATTTGGCAACTTACAACGTTGCTCTGAAACTTATCAACTCTTCCGGATTCCTGTCGGCTACGCATGCCTTAGATCACTCCAGAGATGTCTGTTTCGACCAGGCAAAGTTTTTGCTTGGCTATGTTTTACTAACATCTTTTCAGTTTGCGCTCCAGTATCGTCAGATTGAATACCCTGAGGGGGGCTCCAAAGCACCCCGGCCGCATTTGTTTTCGGTTATTTACCTTCGTCTCCTTGTTAGCACACTTAGGGCCCGCTGTGCTGATCCGACTGCAAAGGTTAGTTACATCAATTCTTGTCTACAACATATTATCCCCCGAAAATGTTGCAACGTTATAGTCCCATAATACTAATTGTCTGCAGAAACCGCACTACGAGGATGTATGCATTTGTTTTCAACAACTAGGTGACTTGCGTGGTTGGGAAGATGGAGAAGAGACAGACGCTGGCGCAAATTACAAAGAAGAAAAGCACTATAATATTGCCCGATTTTTCAACCTTGAGGCTACCATGCACCTCAACAGGTGGCAGGATGTTGTCAGGATATGTGCATCCGATGACACGATCCCTGATTCAAAGTTTTACCCACAGATCATGGATTTGACTCTCCGATTGAACCTACCACCCACATGGGCGATCTGGCTTATCAAGGTTCGTTGTTTCTTTATTACCGGGAGACTACATTCTTTGAAAAATACTCACATCTATACAATAGCGGATCGTGTCGAAACTCAACGAGCTACGGGACGATCCCCCTACCACATGGCAACACGATTTCCGAGCCTCCCTGCCTCGTTACCTCCACTGTCTATTCATACTAGCCATTGAACCGGACCCCTACGCAAGCACTGATAGAAGTGCCAATCTTGGTTTCAAAATGGCCGATGCTGAAGTTGCTGAAGAAGTGCTCGATAAAATCCTCGCAATGGCAGACGAAGAGGCAGCCGTTGCAGAGGAAAGATACGGTACACAGCACAGCCTCAATGCCATCCAGGTCGGGTCGGAGATGGATTATATGTTTACATATCCAGCGGGGGAATTAATCAATGTTGCTACCATGTCCTTCAACAAGGCTATTGACTTTTACCGTGCTACGCGGGACCAGGATTGTCAGCGTTGGGCGGAAAAAGCCATTCGTGTTGCCCAGCTTGTGCCTGGTGCTCAGGGCAAAGCGCTGGTCAACGTACTTCAGATCAGACTGGGAAGCTTGATTGGAGTTTGAGTTGGTGTTGGTATTGGTGGGCTGGTTTGGGCTGGGGTGGGTATGTGGTTCAGATAAATTGTGACAAGGTGGAGGATTGTGTGTGTAGTGTGCTAGGTACTTGATATGAAATTGAAAAACTCAAACTGATTGTTCTTATGCTTTCCCGATCAAAAAGAAATATGAAGAGAAAGAAAGGATTGATCTTCGTGGCGAGATGGCCTATAGAGTATAAATATGTGGGTATCATCAGAAGGGAAATGATCTCTGAGAAATCAGAAAGTAGAAAGCAAAATCGCCCAAGCCACAAAATCCGGTAGATGATGCAAAGATGCAATGGAACAAAAGGGAGAAATCAAGAGAATGCTCAAGTCAAGATGTCAGTAAATAAGAAAGCAAAAAGAAAGAATCAAGGAAAGGCACTATGAAAGCGCCACAGCAATTCCACGAAAGCCATAAAACACCAAAAATGCAGTCTGTAACTTTTCCGAAAGCAGAATAAAGATCCCCAATGGGATAACCCAGTTCATTCCTCCCCATGCGCATCGCAGGAACGGCTCCGCGAAGCCTGCCGCACCCCCTTGGACCGCAGCGACGGGGTAGACGGCATACGATGAGGGATACGAGGCAACTTGGGCATGGCCGAGTAGCTCTGTTTCGGCTCCCGCTCCATGTCCTTACCGCTACTATCTGTCTCTGTCTCGCCGCTCTCATCGCTGCTTTGTCTATGACCACCCACAATGCGGAGTGTGAGATTGAGCTCGCGCTCGAGCTCCTTTTGCGCTTGCATGCGCTGACTCGAGCCGTTGAGTTTCTTGCGATACACTCGCAGAGTCCGGCACAGCTGCTCGGTGGATGTGTCTAAGCTTCCGACCTCGCTGCGCGGGGTTGTTTTCCCGCGGTTGCGGAAGTCGATGGATGTGCGGCGGTTGCTGGTTCTTGCGGTGTGTGGTTTCCGGGGTGTTGGGGTTTTTGATTTTGGGCTTATTGGGGATGGGGACCGCCGGTGTCGGTCTTGCTTTGGGCCCGGGGTTGGGGAGAGGCGGTTTGGAGGGGAGGATCTTTCTGAGACGGCGTGGTTTTTTAGTGATGATGGTGCTAGGGATAGCCGAGACAGCTTGCGGAGTAGAGTTGGAGAGTGCTCGCGGATAGGTGTTGGTGTTGGAGGATTCGGGCTATCCGGTCGTTGAAATCCGGCGAGTTCGCTGCGGGAAAGGACTTTTCGGAGAGGGGGCCTTGCCGCTGTCATTTCTTTGACGGGGCATTCGTCGTCCTCCCGTGTGTTTGCAAGGTCTGGGGAGACCTGTTGCTGGACAGATAGGTTCCATATCATCACAATCCCGTCCATACCGGCACTCACCACTGTGCGCTTGGTTTGGGACCCATCGGACTTATCACGCTCCTCCAGAAGTAACACATCGGTTACACCTTCTGTATGGCCAAATTCACCAGTAAGGAGCTGGTCTCGCTCTAGATCATAGACGCGAATAGATTTATCGGTGCTCGAAACACCTATAAGAACCTTCGGAGTCTGGCCTGAGATCTCGGAGGCAACTGTCAAAGAGCCCAAAACCACCGCATCAGCTGTCTCCGAATCAGATGCCTTGAAACTGTGAAGTTGACGGCCGGTTGGGATATCGAATTTCGAAACACAACGGTCCATGGTAGAAAGGTATAGAATGTTCGAGTCGTCGGGACAGAGTGTCATCGACACGGGGGAAGCCTTTTGAGTGATGACCCTTGAGATCAGATAGGCAACAGATGTGCCACAAGCCACCTCGCGTGTCGCGCGACCTCTTATGACAACGGTGCGATCTGCGGAGCACGAAAGCAATTTTTCACCTTCGTTGATGAACAGCAACTGATTAACAGCCCCGACGTGATCGTCCATGGTTTGAATCAACTGCAACTCGTTGTCCCGTGTCTCGAATAGTTGCACCATCCGATCACGCCCAGAACTAGCTATCAGCCAGGTCTCGTCCATTTTTTGGATGGCCACATCCGTAATCTCTCCGCCATGGGCGCGCGCCTCGTTGAGGCAAGTCCAGTCGGCGTTCGAAAAGATTCTGCATCACAGTCAGCTAAAGAACATTCGGTTCATATCCTAATTTTGTACATACCTCAACACACCAAACTTGTCACCAGAGACAAACCAGTCCGCATTCTCAGCGGTCCTCAGAACTTTGAGTTCGTTTGCCGCATCGTCTTCTTTTCCGGGAAATTGGTCGAGATCGATATTCTTCGATCCTCGACACTTCCCTTGTGCATCCCAAAAGTTCACCGTACCATTGCGAGACCACGTGAAGAAGTCTGCAGACAAGTTATTGGGAAAATCCATGCGACAAATACCGAGAATCGGGTCCCGATGGGCCGGCATGGAAGCCTCGCCTGCCTCCTGTTCACCATCTTCACCTAGAGTGTCAATCGGGTAGACATGAATCGCGCGGGTTGATTCAACAGTAACCAGATGAGAACTAAGAGACCCCATGCAAGTGATCGCCGGTGCCTTGCCTTTCTTGTCAAGTGCACTCTTTTCAAGGCGCGCAGGAGAAGTCGGCGTGGATGTTCCACGTAAGACTTCAAATGATAATCGCTGCATTTGCCTTCCTCCTCCACCTACCCATATGGACTCTTGGTCAAAGTCCACGGCCAACGAAGTGATGCTGAACCCAACTTGCTTTACCGTGATCAGCTTCTGAGATCCTTCACGATCATCGAAAAAGCAAACTGCGCCTGAATCTGTGCCGATTACGGCCTCGTTTTGGGATATACTGCTCACACAGGTGAAAGTATTATCGCCTAGGGTGCCCAGTAGACAATTCCTGCCGGTAAGTGCTTTTGGGGCAAAACTGGGCGAGAGGGCAGCTACCTCGACATTCAAACGTGACTTGGTCGGTGAAACAGGCCGAATCGCCGTGGGAAGACGCCAGACCTTAACATGCCGCAGGCCGGTCCTAAAGAAAAACATTAGTTGACTGCTAAGTATCCCCATCCGATCAAACGTACGTGACCAAAGTATGGCCGACCCAGCACATATCATTGATAAATGAGGTGCATTTATTCACAGAGTGTAACTTGGCCGAGCCATTCTTGAGGTTTACTGTCCACATAAAGAGAAATCCATCGTTTGGATTGCCGAGCGTGGCCAAATATTGAGAGTCTGGGCTAAACGCCAGGCTGCGAACACCAAAGGTATGCTCGTTTAGAATGGACAGAGGAACATCAGGTAAGGCATCTCTCGCTGTCGAAAATATCAAGACTCGAGGATTATAGCCAGTCTTGACGTCGTTAGCTGCCGTTGTTGTGGCAATAATTTATATCTCGATTCCCACTTACCTCTCCCACTGCAAGGAATCTTCCATTCGGGCTGATTGAAACACTCGTCACTGCTTTGATTCTTTCCCTCGAAGACCATCCACGTGGACTGCCGATGTCGATGACTTCGCTCGACGGAGACCCATTGACATTAAGATGCGGATTCGACCGGATATGGGAAAGGGATCGTGATCTGGGGTCCGGGCTGCCCGGGGGAGTCGACTGGTTGTAAAAAGAAGTTGACGGGTTGACACTCGTCGCGGAGGGGCGGGCTCGGAAGAAGCGTTGTGTTATGTTGTCGTTCTCGTCCAATTCTGCAAGAACCGCTGCTGATCCAGCACATAGCGCAAAGCTTCTGCTCTGATCATGGCATGAAAATCCGTTTGGGGTTGTAGTTGTTGTGCCGATGACGGTTTGGAGGGACAAGGAGGATTGATGGAGGGTCTTGCTGGGGGTTCGTGTCCCTGGTCGGAGGACTGGAGAGTTCGAAGGAGTGATTTTCAAGGATGCGCTGGGTCCAGCAAGCTTGCTTTTTGCACTGGGGTGAGCGGTGGTGGCCATATCCTCGGGGAGGCGGTCGGCGCTTCAATGTCCTCTAAGAGCGTGGGATATTTGCATGTCAAGCAAAGTTCATCAGACAGGTTTGAGGATGCCAGTGAGGCTGTAGTAGGCGTCCGGAATTTTTATGTCGGAGAGTCGGTCAGGAGACAGTGTGGAGGATTGGTAGAATTAGTGGGGGCAAGCTAGGATGAAGCTCTGATCAGCTAAGTCCGATCTCTATCCACACACACATCTATAACTCACCAAAAGAGGGTATAGGACGAGAAAAGTCAACAAACACGAAGCTCATTCCGCACTAAAGCAGATCATTCCAGTCAGAGGAATCTGAACCTTCTGGATGCCCCTGGCTCCATGGGGTTATTTGGGCTTTTTGCTTGGCTTCTGATTGGCCTCTTGGATTTGAGGAATTACCGGATTCTCACTTTTGAGACCGAGGGACTTCCTTCGATCTGCGGAAAAGCGTGATATGAACGGTGGGTCGTGTACGCACAGGTCGCCGCACTACCCGCACCATCGGCTCAGCGTGAGCTTTAATGGGAGTATGCTATACTCCGTACGTTGGATGTGATTAAATCGCAAGATCACATCAGATCAGATCAGATCAGACCCAAGGGAGGCTCATGGGAGGTTCCACTACCGAAGGCCCACAGCTCCGATTGCTCGTCCGATCGTTGCATTAATCTTGGAAGTTTCCTCGATTCAGTCTCACGTGCCTGGAATACGATCTCGTGCCCCCCGATGCCCTAATCTCACTGGCACAATTCGACCTGTCCATTGCGATACATCGGCAGCTCCGGTGTTGAACTTCTTGGCAATCTTACATGCCCATTTCTACCAATCAAATAGATCTGTACCCCGTAAGCACGAAGATCTCTACACATGTGGGATCTAACCCGTGACAATCTCCTTCACCATCATCCACGTAGTAGCTCTCCCCGGAATTTCTCAGGAAGCTCCATGTTGAAATGCAACCTTCACTTAAGATAAAGCGAGTAGTCTTGGTAAGCTTTGGAAGGTTTCGGGTAGTTATCCCCATATCATATGACTTGCTATTATGTGTCTTTTTGGTGTCTTTCATATTGCTCTTCGTAGAATTCTGATACTATCATGTGGCTTTTGTGTTCTAAACTACCACATAGAGTCATCATAGAGCATATACACTGGTAAAGTATCAATTAAATACACCGAGAGCGTATACATATCGTAGGCAACTTGATACAATTGCAGAGGTAAAACTATACCGCACTTTCAAAATACTACCTGGTAATACCGCGGTGGCATACTTAGTTTGTCGCTCGTACTCGCGATAGTCGCAAACTGAGAGATCGCAATAGATGGGGAAAAGAATGAAGATCTTATTTTATATCTTGGGTTATTTGTTACTACTTGCATATCATCATTCGTAGCCTTTAGTATGGAATATAGCAGACATGAATAGCCCCATGGTCTTATATGAGAGACGTACAGCTTATGTTGCCGAGTTATGTATTTCTTGCTCTCTCCCCCTGCTACTCTCTTTAATGTCTGATGTCACCATGTCTGTTCAATTAGACAATCGCCAGTCGATTAATGACTATTGCCGTTCTTATGCAGAGGATCAACTTATTGGAGGCACGAAGTATGGCAACCAGGTCGTTAAACTACCGGGTTGTGACTTGGTGGTTAAGTTCGGCCGTTAAGTCTCCCCCTACGAGGTAAAGAATCAGCGAAAAGCGTAAAAAAAAACCAGATACCATTATAGTCCCTTAGGTTCATTCATTTTTTATAGGCAATGAGGGTTGGGGCTATATAGTATCGGATTTGATTCCGGGCAAAACTATTGATCCTCTTCTGAACTCTTACATTCTTAGACTCGCTGAGTATTTTCACTCTATTACCGCCGATAGCGCTGGTAGCCTATGTGGTAGCCCGTCAATTGACTTACTCTGGCCCGAGTCATACCTAGTAACTGGAGGAATGGTTCAATAGCCGGTTTTCCCCAAATATGGCAAGGCTCAATTTGATCTTAGCCTATTGGTATTTTATCATTTCAATATAGCCCCTCCAAAGCTTCTCTGGTTAGATGGTGGCCGTATTTGTTTATTAGACTGGGCATCAGCAGGGTTTTATCTGAGGTCATTGGAATTTGCCAGTCTATTCTTTCAAGAATATCATTCCAGCCAGACGCATCTGAATGCCGTCGGTTTTGGCTCTGGGCGTGATGAAGAAGAGCTGCTGCTACCAGGCATTATACAACAATGAAAGGTCCTCCTTATAAGTCAGCAGAATTGCTTGTCTCTGTGAACAACGCTGAGCCGAAAACCAGTCGTTCGAGGGACATTTTAGAATGGTCTTCGCACCATCGATAGGCTGATTCCACCTTTCCTTTTCCACTACTACCAGCACCACAACTTCTGCGTTGAGAAAGGGACAACCTTCTAATGGTAATACCTAGGTAGTGTCCCATAGGACTAGTCAGATTATCAGATGAGAGCTAAAGCATGATCGATGTTGGTACAACTTATGTCGGAAAAAAGGTAAAGAACGATGTATATAGTTCTGGCGTTTAGCAATGCAATTTTCAATACAATAATGCAGCTGCTCGATCTTCTACAAATTAATGTATAGAGTTACAAAGTCTTATCAATAGCTATTGACAATAAATTCCAACAACGTGCACCTGTATGTAGTTGCTGAGATACAAGGAGGTCTTGCTATGTATTTTGGGGCTCGCTTGTTAGTTCTCTTATCGCCACCCGGATATTTTCTCTTCGATGACCTCTGGAACTTCCAGATCTCACATTATCTATCAACTTTGCTCTGCTCGTCACTCCCTTTTTTCATTCATCTACAACATATTCCCAAGATGGCTAAATGTGCTGCCTCATCGAGGCTGGCCCTGCCTGCCGTTCTGCGCAATGTTTTCCGCTCTCAGCTCACCAGCGCTTCTTCAAGCCCCTATCGCCGACCTCTTGCCTCCGGTCCTTTTTTCTCTTTGAATATCCATCTTCAGAGATCCTTCCGTTCAATTTCGCGCTTGCATGATTCTCAGAATGATCAACAAACACCCGCAGCCCCTGAAACCACGGCTGTCGCCGATGACACCCTGCCTTCTCAACACAAAAAACCAAAGAAAGATTACGACTCATTCGGCAAGACAGGTGGTTGGAATACTCATAAACGCCACCCCAAAGATCAACGAAGGGACCCTGATAGTACCGGAAGAACCGACAGAGAGCGCAGAGCTTTCCGCAACGAGACTCGCAGGGAGGTGAAAAAAGAACCTCGCAGGGATTGGCAAGACAGAGCCGAAAAATCGAAACAATTCTCCGAGAACAGAGGAAAGAGAAAGCCCGAGAACTGGCAAGTGCAAAAAGCCGCTCTGAAAGAGAAGTTCGCCGGTGGTTGGAATCCACCTAAGAAGCTTTCACCTGATGCCCTCGATGGCATCCGTCATCTTCACGCGAAGGCACCTGAACAATTTACGACTGCTGTCCTCGCAGAGGAGTTTGAGATGTCTCCGGAAGCTATTCGCCGAATTTTGAAGAGCAAATGGCGCCCATCGGAGGACGAGATGGAGAGTCGGCGCAAGCGATGGGAAAATCGGCATGATAGAATCTGGAGTCGTATGGCTGAACTTGGTCTTCGCCCTTCGACAAACCGCACGCGAAACCTTTCGGATTTCCATGTGCTGTATGATGACAACAATCGCGAGCGAAGATAGTCGTCTGTGTACATGATACCATGCTATATATGGGGTTTTGAGTTGCGCTTGTACAATAAATAATATAACCTAGAGGAAACAACATATCTCTTATAACTAGTAATTGGTTGCAGTATGGAGTAGGGTGGGTATCATGGCATTTAGCCCGTAGTTCGGGGTTTAGTTCGGGGTGGAGCTAGGAGCAAGGATATCGTCGCCACAACTCCCCCGGCAACACATCTTCAACTCTCCAACCAGCATGGTTCATTCGAGTTGACAGAATGCTAATGGCGGCATATTTCACCAAGCTTCGACCTAATTACAGCTCAACGTGCCGGCAATTCCCTCCAGACCTTGGCCCTCGAACCGCAGCCCACATGCTGAGACAACCGCCATGCCATCCAACATCCAAGTCTTCGTGAAATGGAAGGACCAGACTATCTTTGCAGGAGAGGATGTAGAATGTACTATAACATTCAAGAACGTGGCCGATACTGGCGCCGATGCCAATAACGCGGGTGAAGGACAACATTCACGGAAGGTCTCTCGAGTCGCAAACCACACACCCAAGTCGAACTCGGAATCTTTCTTCGGATTTAAATCGCCCCAGGCTCTCTTTTCCGGTCGGCGATCATACTCCATCAGCTCCCAACGGAAGCCTTATCACCGGACGGCCTCGTCCCTGAGCTCTTCGTTGGTCGGCTCCCATAGCTTTCCTCCGAACAGCGGCCCCTCTACACCGCGAGAATGGCAACAAGGCCACAACCATAAACGATCCGTCTCAATCCTCTCCATTGATAGCGAAGGCCAGACCGATCCGACACCTTCTCCTTACAATCGACGTCAGCCAGTCAGGGGTCATGGGCGCTCGGCGAGTCTCCAGGTTCTACCGCGGAGGAACAATAGCTACGAGGATTCTTACAAAAAAGGTAGATGATGGACAGTGCAAAACATGCGAAGGGATTTTCAACTAATGAGTGTCTCGTATCAGCGAGAACTCCCTCTCATATTTCTCCGTTTCCATTGACAGAGGCTCCCAACGAGCATCCCAATGGCAATCTGAGAGTCGATACCTCCCACTTGGGGCGAGCCACCCAACCTGGCTCTCGAGCGACGAGTCCAACAGGTGCCATAGAGCCATTGCGTCCACCTTCCCGACGGCCCCAACCACCTCCCCTCGATTTTAAGTTTCCGCCCGCGGCTTCAGCCGATTCGACTAACAGTCGCACCGTGCGCACCCCATCACCAAAGTCGGCGACAACGAACGGTACATCATCAACCGGGGGAAGACCCACTCTCAAAGATGTACAGGGTCTATCTGGACCGGCGCATCAGCAACTAACTCGGATCATATCAGTCACAAGCGTGAACGGGAGCAACCGGAGCAGTGGGGAGTTCTACTCAGTCAGCGACCACTCCACCGAGACCCTCGGATCAGAATACACGAATTATTCTCTCCAGAATGGGCGAGCTCCCTCCATGCGGCATGCGCGGCATCATTCAAGCGTAGTTGCATCTCCTGCCAAAGCCTCCAACAGCCAGGCGCTGCTGATGGGCTATGCGCAGGTTAACGCATCATTCACGGTCGATGGGTCGTTAGTAAACCAGTCCGCCTTCGACGAAGTCAAGCGAAAGGGAGTTGTTGGTGGCCAACCGAGTTCAGGCGGACTTCCTGGCCGCCCAACGCCAACAGCCGAACGACCACGTAAGAGCGGTGGGTTCTGGGGCTCACTCAGATGGAACACTATCGAGGAATCTATCAATGGCCTTCTTTCAAATAACGAGTTGGACGGATTACGAGAAATGCGTGGTGTTACATCGTCGAGATCAATTCCGCTCTTGTCCACCTCGCAGTCGCTGCTTTTTGTTGACCTCCGACTGGCACCAGGAGAGGAACAGTCGTATTCCTTCTCTTTCTCCCTTCCCAAAGGACTCCCGGCGAGTCATAAAGGAAAAGCAATCAAGATCTCATATAATTTGGTCATTGGAACTCAGCGGCCTAGCGGGCCTAACGAGCCCCAAAAGGTCAACCGCATCAACATACCCTTCCGTGTTTTTAGCGGCGTGAATGGTAAGTTACATTCTTTGCTTTTCCTTCCATCCCAATTTCTCACGTCCTTATAGAAAAGGGAGACATTCTTGGCCATGACTTGATGTCACCATATGTACTTCTACGGGATGAAGCGAAGGTCCAAAAGGTTGGGCCAGTGATGCCTGTGTCAACGAAGAACCAAAGTATTAGCAAGTCTCACCATTCCGCGGCCGACTTCCTTGGTTTTGTGGATGAGATCTTGGAGCAACGTGCGCGTTCCAACACGCTGTTCCCACCTGGTGCTACGCCCTCGAGACGACCTAGCGTCGAAGGATTACCTCAGATGCTTACTTCCAAGGATGTCATCGATATTGCTATCCTTCGAAGTAACCAGGCTGTGAACTCTCGCCGCAGCCCCAATCGCTTTGAGATTGCCCGCGAGGGTAAACGTATCGCAGTGGTCGTCTTGAACCGACCAGTTCATCGACTTGGAGAGACCATTATCGCCACAATGGATTTTGGAGATGCTACGATTCCATGCTACGCTGTGCGTGCCTCGTTAGAGACGTCCGAGAAAGTCACCCCTACTTTGGCCATCCGGTCAAGTGCCAGTATTCACCGAACCACACGGCGCATCCATGCTTCTCTGTTTGAGAACACACTCCATGCCACCCGAGTGGCTTTCAGCCCTGCTATCCCCATCACAGCGACGCCTTCAATTTTGACGAGCGGTGTGACCCTCGACTGGGAGTTACGATTCGAGTTTGTGACATCCAGTGTTCGAGGCGATCAAGGGGCCCCGCCATCAGGCACTCGCTTACTCGAGGCCTTGTCATCGGATGATCGCGGCACGGTGCTGTCTGCCATGGAACATCTGAACTGTGAATCATTCGAGATTGCTATCCCGCTGACGGTTTATGGAGAGACTGTTCGAGAACGACTGCCCGAGGAGAATGAAGGCTACCCAATCTAGAACTCCAGATGTACACCACAGGTATACCAGATGAACATGTGCTTGCCTGCTGTGCAGGTTATGCTTGATCTTATTTTGATTAAATATTCCCCTTGTGCCATCGAGGGAGAAACTCCCAGAAATATAGACCCCACCAGGCTCTAGACTCCCATGTATAATTGATACTATATTTGAATCGAAAATAACGACAGTGCGACTGCTACCAAGTATGTAAATGTAAAATATATCTTATAGTCTGTGACGTCGACGCGGTAACTGGGGCAACGCGGTCAGTCAACCGATCGGATCTGGGCACTTTATCAACTCTGGTGGAGCTGAAACCCGATAACATCTCTCTCCTTGCGCTTCTCTCGAACATATCATCCAGAATTATTGTCAGGTAGGTTCATTGGCATTATCTGCACGTCAGCGCATCTACACATCTGATGGCGTCCCTCAAATATCGGACAGCGACTAGTATCTAACATTGGAATGCAGGCACATCGCGATCAGCGCAAACCCCGCCGAAATACACCCCTACCGAAGGGATTACTTTTTTTTCCTCGAGCCTGAGAGAATATGGCTTCGTTCATCACCACCATGTCTGTCCCCGCTACCCCTCCTGCTGCCCATTTCATTTCCCCTGGGGAGCCTGCCTCTCGCTCCCCGCAAGCACTCCCTTCCGTCATCAGCCCTTCCGTCGTGTACCACACTACTCGCACTTCCCATCTCCCCCTCTCGGAGCCTCCATCTTACCTGTCGCCGGCAGTGCGCGCACTCAAACAGGGCTGTTTTGGACTAACACCTCCCAGCAATGCACGCACACGCGCCCCCTTCAAGCCCCGCTCGTCCGCCAAGGGCACAAACAGTTATCAGCTACGACAGTTTGCCGAGGCTACACTTGGAAGTGGTAGCTTGCGCAAGGCCGTGAAGTTGCCCGAAGGCGAAGATCAGAATGAATGGCTCGCCGTGAATGGTAAGAAACATCTTGCGGAGTTGTACTGGGGGTATCTGCTAACGTTTTGGCGGTCTAGTGGTCGACTTCTACAACCAGATTAACCTCCTTTATGGCTCAATAACTGAGTTCTGCTCACCGCAGACATGTCCCGAGATGAAGGCTACAGATGAGTACGGTGCTTTTTCGACAGCTCGTTGACCCCAGCTTACACGTTTGGATAGGTTCGAGTACCTCTGGCAAGACTCGGAGAATTTCAAGCGGCCAACCAAGATGTCCGCCCCGGAATACATCGAACATTTGATGGCCTGGGTTCAGAGCAACGTCGACAACGAACAAATGTTCCCTAGCCGAATCGGTGTCCCATTCCCCAAGACCTTCCCTAGTCTTCTCCGCCAGATCTTCAAGCGTCTATACCGTGTCTACGCCCACATCTACTGCCACCATTATCCAGTGGTAGTGCATCTCGGCCTCGAGCCTCACCTCAACACCAGCTTCAAACACTATGTTTTGTTCATCGACGAGCACAAGCTGGCCAGCGGGAAGGATTTCTGGGGACCGCTGGGTGATTTGGTCGATAGCATGTTACGCAGCGACTAAGGATTGAATCGGGATATTGGGTAGTGATTGTGTTTTGCATCTGATCTCCGCAGTCAGGGATACTGGCTGTTCTACGGAAAGGTGTCTTAATGGCGTTTCGGGTGCGGCATGCATTGCAGTATTTTAGCATGGGCTTTTGGCGTTTGGGGCTTGACCTGACGCGAAGACCGAAGCGATGAATCCATGTATTTTTTTTTTCTGATTTGGTAACAAGAACGCCTTGATGGTTATTGTAGGTTATCGCAGATGAATCTCCTTTTCAGTCTCAGCCTCGGGGGAAGCAGATGACAAAAAGAGACAACCACATTGTTATCCTTCTTCCTGTTAAATCCACTCTCCATACTCCGTAATAGCCTACGATAACCTACAATACCCAATCATTGGTAGGCCACCAGATGCACTAATTATAGCTAATATGCCGCTAATCTGAGATTTGATCAATCTCATGTTTCCTGCTGCATAGTTGACCCGAAACTCGATGG